ATTTGCTGGCTGCTCCCGGAGAAATGTGTCTACCAGCTCCTGTAATGCCGTCAGACAGCAATTTATGAATTGGCTTCAGGTGAATGTGGCCGCCCAGACGGTGGAGATTTATGGGAAATATGTATTTGGGAATAATAGAAAATTTACAAACTATCGCTCTTCGGGGGATCGCTTGCAGTGTATCTGTAATAAGTGTGTGCCAAGTTTCGGAATAAAAATTTACACCTATTTAATACATCCTGCGGAGCACATTAATTCACTCCTCATGTGACTCCGTGTGGCATCGCATTTGTATGACACGGAGAATAGCAAGAAATTTATCAGAGTCTGAAATTACATAGCAAGATACACGATATTGAGCACTTTGTGAAAATTTGCACGATATTTAAATATATCACGAATACGAATAAATGGAGATGGAATAATAAATGCGATATATTTCCCGTCGACAGTGCCATGCAGTTGTCTTGGCAGAAGCCATAGCGAATTCTGCATCATTCTAAATGGCAAATTTTGCATGAGCACCGTGAAGTTCGTGGCGCAAACACAAAGCAGAGTGGGTGAATTTCTTCCAGTTTAGTAGTGTGTTGGCAAATTTTGACTATACAAGAGCGTCACTCATCAAATTTCACACCACATTTCATCCCTAATTCAGCCACGAGGAGCTTCCTCGGCGAGCTCCTTCACAATAAATTCTCATCATGAGTAGCTCACTCTCTCCAGCTCTCTCTCTCCACTCAAAATTATAATTCACTGGAGCAGTTGCAGAAGAAAGAACAGCCACGCCGTTGTGGTTTCTCCATGCCAGAGACTTCACGAGTTCGCTCCGCATAGAAAATGACTCTTTTTTTGACTTGGCTTCCTCCAATTCCATCACATTTGGGGGAAATAATCACGAAATTGGAGCAGGAACATGTTCACCTGCTGCGAATCAATTCGAGCTCAAGACAACCCGAAGCATTTAGAGAAAAGCAAAACTTCCCGCTGGCAGTGTAGTTGCTAAACTGCGCGTTAATCAGTCTTTCCCATTATCGTAGATCATTTCAGCCACCCCCAACTCGAAGTCAGATGGTTTAACAGCAACTTTTCTGGCACGCAGTTCATGTGCTCTTTGTATATTCTGGTGAGAATTTTGTGAACAGGACTTTTAAGCTCTCACTTCTGTTGCTGATAGAAAATCAATAATGATAATCGAACTGTTTTCCATTCTGTTACATGAGAGGATCTTGCGATGCAAGCTCTCGTTTTTCTCTGAATAACAGCGTCCAAGTTTAACACCTTCCTGTTACCAAGGGGGAGATAATGCAGGCAGAAGTGGTGTACAGCTCCGCGGAAGTGTTCAAAAACTTACAATATTCCTTTCCTGACTGTTTCTTTTACTGCCAAATTATTCGATTCATTGGATTCCTTTTGATTTTTGCATAAAAACAATCACAATATACTTTTTCTAGGTTATGTAACACATTAAGAACAGATTTAGTGAATAATTCGCATTCTAGCACATCAATTCTTATGCTTAAGTCGAAGAGATCACTAGATCACTCGAACTTAGAAACCTGTCTGGACAATTTTGGTTCTGAATCATCAATTTTATGATGATCTTTTATGTCTTTTATGATCTTTTAGTGATATTTTGAGGTTGTGGTCGGAAAAGACACTAAAAAAGCGATTTAAAGTGGATTCTTACAGAAACTTGTAGAGAAATATCTTACAGAATTTGTGTGCAAAGTCTAAAATTTAAGTGCTGCAAGTGTCAGGCATATTTGCAAATGATTCGGAAGTGGTTAAGGCATATTATCCTCCCCTTGGCCATGTGATCAGTGACTGGACAAAATACCTGCATGACTGTGGGGAAAAGAAAATGGAAGGAGAACAGACTGCAAGCTCAGAAACGGCTCATTATTCATCGTGAATGCAGCCCAATGAGCCACAACAACTACAGCGGTTGGTATCAAACAACCGTGGCGACCAACGACCGATACTGAGGCTTGACTATGCAAAGTGCCACAATGACTGTGGACAAGATGTGACTGCGGCCCTCACTGGCAGCCGGACAGCTTCTATATTTAGAATGCATCCCTCTGCCATTCAACTCTTTCCCGGCATTTTCGACAGTTCCGCCGCTCTTCGAATGACAGTTGGAAGTCGTCGATTATGGTTTGAATATATGGCAAAAGTGGGGCAATTTAATTTTTTAAAATAAATCTCACACCATCAAAATGTAGTGGGAAAAATGGGTGAAAATCTTTAAACAAACTGCCATCAATTTACTGAAGACATCCAAACGATCTCTCCACACATTTCATCCGGGGGTATTTTCTTCTGTTCACTGCTCGTGTGCAGTGCTTCAATTCAATTTCACTTATCAGTAAGTTAAGTTTTTATTTTGCTCCCACTGTTCGCGCGTCTAACTTGATAAATTACAAACGTATAAAGAAAATCACGTTCAAGATTGATTTATTTCCAATTCACTCAACACAGTCCATCAGATCCACACACACACACACACAGTCTGTTCCGGGGCTGAGAGACGCTCTCGATAGTGGCAAGATATCCACCAAAATAACTATGTGGCTTAGCTCACACCGCCAATGCTGTAAAATTTCCAACTGTGGAGATGAGATTTTCTTTCCCAGAAGTCTCCATATTGTGGAATTGTGTCTCCAGTTTTGTGGCTTTGCCGCTCTGTGACTGGCTTCGCCTCCTTTTTTCTGCTCGACAATAATCGTCGCTTTGAGGAGCCGGAGAGGGATTCTCACAACAGCATCTATACATCATTGTGAATTCAGTCTTTTTTGTCACCGAGATTTCCCTTCAAATGCAGAAGCCGGAAATTCCGTCAATGATTTTTTCCTATTGAAACATCTCTCAATAATGTCAGCACTGGCCGAGGGATATTTATTTGGCTCAAGCATTTTAAACTCCACCAGTTATTCCTCCGTTCGCTTTTGACCCCTCAACTTCCAAACTGTCATCCAAAGTAAAAAAAACAACACCGCTGAGGGTGAAAATTATTATCGTACTAGCAGAATTTCAGGAAGGAAGTGCATTTTTTTCGCCGGGCGATTCAATTGAAAATGTAGAATAAAATTTTATGCGATTACCAACTGAAATGGAATCGTGTAATTGTTGAGGAATGAATTGAAATTTTCGTGCGCATTCATATACAGTGTGTGTGATTAATTTATTTCCCGTGAAATGAAAAGCAGCAACAAATAGCTGTATGTGTTTTTGGGCGGTGAATGAAGGGATTCTACGGGGGTGGCGGCCAAAGTGAAGTTCAACTCCGCTTTCGTCGTCAATTAATTAAAAGTATCGCTGGATGAAGTGTGGGTCGAAACGCAAATTGATATTTTTACCATTTATCATTCTCCCCCGGCGATAGGGAAAAACGGGGTAATCAGGGACGCGGGGAAAGGGGTGGAAAAGGTGTGAGTTGAACATGAGTAAAGTGAGACAAGAGCTCTCGATTGTTGCTACATAGGAAAAGTTTTTTTTTTCGCCGGCCAGCCTGTTGTACGCTCCATTTTTTCAGCATTCCCGCAGTCATTGAGGATATATAATTAATGTAGTAAGTCATAAAGTGGAACAGTGTAATTAAGGACTTACTTTTCTCTACTTAATTGAATGTTGTTACAAGGTGAAATTAATGATACAGAAAAATATTGCTCTGCGGTGATCGAAGGGATGTATATAAAAACAACTTGGGGTAAATACATAAATCACAACACAATCCAATAATATACACAACTCGAGGATAACATTCGTGGAATCCCTCGAGGAGCTCCAAGAAGAGAGCGAGGGTGAGAGTGAGAGAGAGAAGCATCTGCAGATGCGAGAGAGGAAGACGTGAGAAAAAATGAGTCGGTGGAATATAAGAAAATATACCCAATTATAGAAGGAGGAATTGAATTCATATGTTATTCCTGCTGAGACGAGGGAAAGAGCCGAAGAGTAAAAAATATCACGAAATGCGGTTGGGTATTGCGAAATCTCATCACGAAAGTATATTCCACTTTATACACAACTCCTCTCGTATTCACCACGAGCAACCCAAAAAAATCCTAACCCTATTCAAAATACAGCATGCATCATCTTGCCGTATTTATACAGGCATTGATTTTCTCAGATGAATGCAAGAGTTTCCTTTCTTTTCGGGGATGATTTGGTGCTAAAATATAGAAAACACTGGAAGATTCTTCTTCAGGGAAACACTCCCCCTTTGTTCCTCAAAGAGGGAGATACACAAGACAGATTGAAACATCAGTTGGCACACTTCCACTCCCTTTCCACGCGATTTTCACATTTTAGCAGCTCACGAGGTGAGATTCATGTCAGCGCGAGGAATTCAAAAGCACCATTTCGTCTTAGGAAATATTCATCTTCTACACGAATTTGCCATTTTTCACTTTGAAAAATAATGCATTGATAAATTTGACAATGAATACTGGAATTATTCTTATTGTTCTCAACAACTTGTTGAGCTTTCCGAGAGCTTATCAGCTTTATCAATATATAATGCTTGTTAAGGTTAAAAATGTATCCGAATCGCCAGTGATCATCGATTTTAATTCACACTTCGTGAGAAGAATGACAGAAATATGTGCTTTTCATATATTTATAACTACATTTTCACTCAATAATTGACCAATTTCATTGTGAGACGATTTATGGGATGAATTTGGATTAGGAGAAAAGCAATCCATGCGTATTTACTGCATTACCGCAGAATCACTTCAATCAAGTTGAAATATAAAGCCGTATCGCTTAGAATTTATCCACCTCCATCCTGGCTAACGTGTTAAATACCGAGGTAGAAGGTCCACCTAATGACCAGACGTTGCTGGCTGAATGCAATGCTGAAAATTCCACCCTTTCCCCTAATGTGTTGCCAATGTGGGGGAGTTAAGCCAGCTATCCACACAAATTTCAATAAATTGTCTTTCTTGCTCTCTTTCTCGATGCTCCCCATCCGAAAATCCACCCACACTCGAGTGCAGTTCGAACATTGGACATCGAAGCCGTGGAAGGCAGGAGTGTGTCGCTGCCCTGTCCGCTATCGGCCCCACTAGACGACGTTAATATGGTGTTATGGTTCAGAGACAACGCCGGCATCCCATTATACAGGTAATTTTAATTACTATTTGTGTGCACTTTAAGATATTTTCGTTGAACTAGGTTAATGGCTGGCAAGTTGCCGGCGGAGACAGTGGGAGAGAGAGAGAAGAATTAAAATTGAGCACCCCAAACCCAAACGATTTTCCAAAGCGTGTTAGCCATGGGAGTTTCTGGGCGCGACAAGGATCTCTGCGCCACCCCATTCGCCATACATTCACTTTTAATTGTAATTGTGTGTAATTGTGAAAAGTTTGAGAATTGAAATTACAAACTTTTATTGCGGCCACATTTTACATAATTTGTCTCCGCCGCATATTAAAAGCTACAATTTATTAAAATTAGTTGGAGAAGATCGTGCGGGAAAAAGTGCAGGAGTTTAGAAGGGGGGCAAATTATGCTGTCGCCGCACAATTGAGCATAATTTTAATTGCTCGTTGAAAATAATTCTCCGCGAGATTGTTGTATTCTTTTAGCAGTCTTTGGTGGAGTTCATCAATAATTCAAATGGGTGAGAATTCACCCACTTTATGCATGACATAACAATGAAGCATCGCCACAATTGGAATTTTCTAGCAATCGGATTTGCAAAGTAGCAAACACAATGTTATATAAACAAATGTATCAATTTTCATTGTAAAGAAGCGATGCATATATACAACATTTTATTTGCTCGCGCAGTGGAAAATTTCACGAGATGCCGCAAAGAAGCATAACTTTCGCTGTGGAATGCAATAAATTTGTGTTGAATTGAGATTTTATGGTGCAATTGTTGGGTGAAAAAGATTCACAGTGGGTGTTTACATCCTCCTGGCAAGTGATGCAATTATCTTGAAATTCACTTTCGTCTCTCCTTCGTTGCAGCTTCGATTTTCGCAGTAAATCACTGTCACATGTGAGGCACTGGTCAGCACCTGAAGTCTTTGGCTCCCGTGCATTGTTTAATGTGAAATCATCGCCGGCATCGCTGGACATTAAGGTGAATTTAATTAATCCACTTCGCCAGTCCCTCTCTCTCGCTCTGGCAAGTGCCCCTGCAGGAGCCGCACATGAACTGACCTCCACTCTGTCCACCCCGAAAAAGCCATGACAAGCCACACACAATTCTCTGGTACAACATATGGACACATGGATGCGGCATGCAGAATATAAACGGGAATTTGATGGCACTTAATAAATTGCTATTCGCCGCAGGAATGGCTCAGAGTCGATATTTTTGAAGATAAGGTGCTTCTCATATATCCCATTTATAAAATGCGGTGACTTTTCGCCCACTTTTCCCACTCCGGAGCGTCAGTCCATGAAACTCAATCCGGGAGGAGGGTGTTTGGCCCTCCCCAATGCCCACAGATAAATCAAAATCGCAGATATTTTATTGCACTATTCTATATGAATTGCCCGTCCGCCGAGAGGGAAAGACAGAGAGGATACTATAGGAAAATTCGTGGCTTATGTGCCATATCATTTATAACACACGTTGCAGACGAGACAACCACGAGGGCCAGAGTGAGAGGGACATGGCGAAAATATACAACTGTGCTTGCTTTTATATGAGTGTGATTATTTTTCCGGTTTCCCAGGATATCAAGCGACACGATCAGGGAGTGTATAGATGCCGTATTGATTTTCGAACCAGCCAGACCCAGAGCTTTCGACATAATTTATCAGTCATAAGTAAGTAGAAAACATTCCAATATCTCTGCCATAAAACTGATAGAGTCGATTAAATTTCTCGGCATATCATATTTTTGAGCTAAAGTGTGGAAAAAGGGCATGATTTCGAAGGTTCAAAGTTTCATGAAAATAACTGGAGCATTTCCCCGTCAAACAAAGAATGTTAAAAATGTGTTATATTAGTTTAAATGAAAGTTGGAAAATGTAAAAAGCAGAGTAACTGATCGGAATCTGTAGAATAACTTGTAGAAATAGTTCAATCTGATATTCTGGCTCAAATTTTCAAGTGTGAATATGGAATCGCTTGAAACATTCTGTCTTAAAATACTGTTTCGGCGAGAAGAGCATGGGATGTTTTTTCTTATTAATTTGGGACGTGAAAATTTCACATGTTTAAAATTTAAAATTCCCCATTTTAGCGGGAAATTCTCCATTCATTACACATAATGTATGAGTCGTAATTAATAATAAAACAGCGTAATATTAATACTTTATTCTCTTCATATTTAATATAGCAACACATGCTCAAATCTGTCGAATTCAGTCATTAAATATTTATTAAATTTCTCATTGGGTATTAATTGAAAAGTGTAAAAGACTCTTGATGCGAATCAATGACAGAGAGAGAGAGCTTAACGTTTTTTCCCCCCAAAAAGCTCTGTGTCTGTTTAAATTTTTGACTTTTTCGAGTGAATCTGAATTTCATGTGATTTTTCAACTATTCTCTATCGACGAATTGCAGCTTCGCCTCCTCGACTGTGACATTTTCTCAGTTGACGGTTCGCTGCGACTGGAAATGCTGTGGCGAGTGAGGGAAGATAGCGACATGGCATTGTCCAAGAGCAGAACATGATAAATAGTTGAGTAGGTGCAAAAAGTACAATTTGTGGAGGTGACAGTGGTGGAAGGGTCATGAAATTAAGAGCAGTCCCTTATTCACACAGCTCAGGTTTGCGCATTGTTTTCACATAGCAAATGGGAAGAACATGTAGGGGGTTGTCTGCAAGAAACATTTTCACAGTATCATCTCAATATTGTATGCTCAAAATTGTGCCCACTATGAAAATCCTTTCTTGCCATATTCCCGTTCACCAGCAACAATTCAAAATGACCAAATGAGTTGGGGTCAGCAGTTTTGAGTTGAAGTTATTTGTGCAAACATTCGACCCACTTATGTTGAGGGGCGGCGAAACTCTAAAACTACATAATAAACCATTAATAAAGTTGAGAGCCGGATGTTGTTTTGTGTGGGATGGAAAGTAAAATACACTTGTTATGTCTATTCCAGTCCTGCCGGAGCATCCCATTGTCCTGGACCGCTGGGGACGTCAATTGAATGGCACCATCCTCGGGCCGAAGCAAGAAGGAGATGACATCATGATATCGTGCCGAGTGGTCGGGGGTGAGTCCATCTTTGCTATTAATAATTTCATTTCCATTAACGATCCTCCATTTGATCCACTCCGAGGGGAATGCTATCTCTCCGGCGCTCTCCACCCTCTTTTTCTCCACCACCCCTCACTGTCCGAAGGGTGCGATGCGATGAAAAATGATTAACGACTGACTAATTTGTATATATGTCCCAATGTATATGTCCATCACCCACACAATGTGTCACTCTCAAAGCCCATAATTAATTGCCATTCACCTGTTAAACCTCCCGCTTTTGCTTTTGCGAAGACAATCTATACCACAATTAATTGCTATAAATAAACTCGTATTGGTGGGATAAGTGTATAAATTTCCCGATGAGCGCAAAAAGTCCAATGAGGATTTATTGAAATGGGAGATTATCCCAGTGAAAGAGGGATTTAGGACACGCTCTGAAGGAGTCTTGTGATAATTTTGCAAATCTCCAATGGAGAGATTGCACGCTATTCTTCCCCTATTTCATATGGGTTCTTAATTTGCAATGGCATCATGCTTTAAATTCAAGAGCATGTGATGAAGATGAAGTGGCAAAAATTGCTCAAGAAATATCCTTGAGCATAAATTAATTTTCAAGTGGGAGGCAAAAGGGCGTTTGAAACTTCCAAGTGACCCCACATACGCTTTGATCGCTTTATAAGCTTGGCGGAATTGAGTGCTTAGTTGAGCACACACTCATAATACGGCGTAGTTGTTAAAAAGCTCAAGAGTTTGTGTGGGTGCATGAATGCTGGGGTTCATCCCGATGGAAAAGCTCCTTGTATCCTCATGAGAAAAAGTTGAATTGCTCAGACTTCAGCAAACAATAGAAAGATGAATGTAATCTATCAAGTTTACCATTCTCCCACTCCTCGGCGAATTCTCTCCCTCTCCGGCGCTCGGGAAATTGTGGGTGGACAGAGGAAAGTCAGTGCGCGCGATAGTCTGAGAAATTTTCATTTGAACAGTATTTGAGGACACGAATAAACTTTTAAAACTATTTCGGAGAAAAAGTTTTCAACGAATCTCAATTCTAAATGAATAAAGAGAATCCCATCCCGTCCCTCACTGTCGCCCCCCCGAAAAACATCAACTCCGGTCGCTCTGGGGAGACCGTGGGAAATGGTGATTTTCGGGGCTGGGATTTATAAATTTGAGGTTACTGTGCAATAAAATTTGTACCACCTGCCTCCGAGAGGAGTCACTTTGAATTGGAAATGGGGTCAGAGTTCTCGCCGAGGAAGGGGTAAAATGTTTTCCTTTATCTGCTTTTCCTCCATTATGGAAGTCAAGAGGGCCAAATCCCAATACAGTAACACTTATGATAAAACTGAAGGTATTTGGTGGGGGGCTTTTAAAAATTCTAATGAGAGTGTATAAGAAATGAGAAATGCTTGTGCTGAAATGCAAAATTTTCGCTTTTGAAGTGGCGGAAAACATGTTGGTGAGTGAGGACGAATAAAAAAAATCCCTCTAGATTTTCTCGAAGTCACTAAATCATACCAGATTTCGTAGGAGGCAAATTTAGCAGAAAAAATCTCACAATGAGGAACGTCTGCATGGTGAAAGCGACTCCAAATTGAGCATAATATTCCATCTAGTGAGGAAAAAAGTTCATGCAAGTGGAAACTTTTGAAATAACTCCTTTGAGATATACAGAATTTCACATACAACCTCTTTTTCTACCCGGCATTCAATTTCGTCTGGCGAGAATCTGTACACATAAAAATGTCTTGGGGGAATAATTTGGAATTTTGGATTTCATATATTCGAAATTATTCTTGCATGTGCAGCCATAGTATTTTCCGACACGTTTATGAACAGCAGTGCATTTTCCACTTTATTAAGAGAGATATGTCGAAAAATAATTTGACTTGGACAATTATCTTCTAATTTATATTTTATCCCAACTCAATTGTGTTTCACTTTGCCTGTTCGGAATCATGAATGAATCTTCTAATAAATGATATTTTCACCATATTTGCAATAGAATCCATGGGGAGAAACAACGTGAGACACACAGAGAATGTAGGTGAAGTGGAAAAAATTACGCGAATTGTAGGAAAATGCGTCCGCGGATGTTAGAATGAGAATTTAAACTTTTTATTCATTCCGCACTTTCCCAACCGAATGTTTCATTTCTTGTCATTATGCTTATTTTCTTCGTGCGCCCCTTACCGACTCCAATTCTGAAAAATTCCCTTCCTTTTCGTATTTTTCCCACCCAAACCACCGCTTCTTCCACTTTCCATAATCGCGAGTTTTCTTTTTGCCGCTTCTCGGCGTTTCACCCCCTCCCACAACTTCTATGTGGGAAGTGCTTGGCTGGGAATATATGCTGTGTTAAATATATAAATCCACCCGGCGTCTCCATCTTGCATGATCACTACGCAAGGGTCAGGCAATAAGCTCTCAACAAGTATTCAATTCAGAACACGAGAAGAAGACACAATGCAAACGTATGAATTGAAAAGAGCATACCTTTTTGTCAGGATAATTGCTGAAATTTCCCAGAGTAGTGAAGGGTGTGAATTTCAGAAGTATTTTCGACTCAAGAACCGCAACAACAACTCTGATATTACTCAGTGTCACTTCTATATGGCGTACATAGCATAATCCTCCTCCAGAAACACTCATCTTTTCTATTTAGCTGCACGAGAGTCTCTCATTCATATCACGATAAAAAGTCTTTACTACTTGTCCTCATCATGACAATAACAACCGCGAGCCAGGAAATATGATGAGACACATTATTTATGTAGTCAAAGAAAATGTTTTATAGCTTTCCATGTGTCTATTTTTCATTGAGGAACACTCTCACACGAGACAATTTATGCCGGTGGAATCTGATGGATTCACCCCATGGGGGAAATCACAAGAATAAGGCACATGAGGGTGCTGATGATGAGGACTTTTGTCTGAGATGTCGGCATGAGAGGCGAGAATGGATGAGATATGGAAGCCACTTTTTCTGTGCACCCAATGGGGAAAAAAATGTAAATTAAAGTTTAGCGATGGAGCGAAAATTAATGAATTGGCATATTTAAAAATCTTGCCAGCTCCTCCGCCAGATGGGGACGACTGTGGGGGTTGGCGGGCACCCGGGGGAGTATATCAGATGCAAAGTGATATCATTAATCAGGCCAGGAATGGAGTGAATGAATGGTACGGAGGAGATAGACAAAAGAGCTAACCGTGGAGCTCCCAAAAGCAATATAGAGAGATTTTAATTAAGCAAATCGAAGTTTTTTCATCAAAAGCATACCTGCGCGCTCTTTCCTGTCTCAACAATTTGCTCGATGATGCTTCGGAGTGAACAATTCCAATCATTCTTTCACCGCCAATCCCTGTGCAAATGTATATTGAAACAAGGAGTAAACATTTGATTTCGGATTGAGCACACACACACACCCATCAGGACAATGGACAGTTCGACTGAAAGTCCCTGGGATTGATGTCCTTGTCCTCGTGCCCCTCAAGTGATATGTGTAACTACTTCCCTTCTGCATTCAATTACAGGTCGACCACAGCCCGAAGTTCGGTGGCTGGTGAATGGACTTCTGGTGGATGATCAATATGAGCAGAACTCGGGAGATGTCATTGAGAATCGTCTGATGTGGCCGGCCATTCAAAGGACCGATCTCAACTCCGTATTCACGTGTCAAGCTACCAATACACTACTGGCAGAGCCCAAAGAGAGCAGCTATGTACTTGACATCTATCGTGAGTTCCCTTAAAACGTTTATTTTAATTTATATCTCTTTGACTCTGGCTGAGTTTTTTCCTCCTTCCTCTTAAGCTCACTTTTCTGTTTTTTTTTTCGTGGCGAAAAGAGTTTCAAGATGACACTCAACATTGCTTGAGAACCATTCGTGGGCAGAGTTGAAAAGCCAAATTTGAAATTTTTTATAGAAAAAATCTACCTTTATAAAGAAAATCGGTGATTATATCAAAACATTGTGACATTAAGTAAGATATTTTTCCTTATTTTACTCTTCCATTCTTTGTGGAATTGTGTTCATCTTTTCAACTCTGCTCTAAATATATTTGAAGCTTTGTGTGACATTTTTTAAATAACTCTCACAACCACGTCCTCGTCTTTTCTCATTAAAAATACCACCTGTAATTACAGTGAAGCCTCTGGAGGTGAAGATTAAAGAGCCTCCGGGTCCCCTGGTTGCCGATCGTCGCTATGAGATGACCTGCCAGAGTTCAGGCTCGCGCCCCAATGCAATTATCACGTGGTACAAGGTAACACTTTGTCGACTTTTCCCATGATAACTTCGCCACGCTCTCCTGGGGCGAATGTGGGGTACCCGGAAGGCAGAACCACACACGCCCCTGGCCGAGCTATTAGGAAGAGATGTTTGGGTAATTGCAATAAAATAATAAAACAAAACTATTTCTTCCACGCGAAAGGGGAAACGGCAATTGCGAAGGACACGGGTATGTTATGTGCTTAAAAGTTATTCTTAGAAAGTATGTTTTTTTTCGTTTCGCCCTCCTCGTAACTCCCACCGCAAAACAAATGACGGTGGCCACAGCACAAGTGAAATGTGTATAATGTGGTAAAACACTTTGCGTGAATTTTATCAGAGAAGAACAAGAGCCACAATGTTGAAAGTTTATATGGTACAATTTCTTGCATATCCCCACGAACAGGATGACGTTTTGAATAATACCACCCGTTCGGAATTAAGTTTCGTGCCATCAACGGAGGACGATGGAAAATCCATAACGTGCCGAGCAGAAAATCCCAACGTGAATGGATTGTATCTGGAAACTTCACTCAAACTGGATGTTGTCTGTGAGTATTTCATATATGGTTTTATACCTCATCCAGCATTTTTTTGCCCTATTTATTGGTCCTGTGTGGCAAAAAAAATCTGTTACTACCATCGCTGATAAATTGAAAAGAAGAGGGATTTGAAATACAAATTTGCATATAAAATAACATTCAACATGGCGCTGGAGAAATGTCGTGATGAATTTTCTTGTAATTGAATGTTAGATTTCCATGTTTGACCTGAAAATTTCTCCACAGCACATTTTCCTGATAAACAAATTGTTCATTATACAGCGTTATTCGCATATGATACTGGCAATTTTGAAAATTTCCTCAATTTTCAAATTCCACGCCATGCTTTTCTTACCTGTGATTGTTTCATTTGCATAAAGGTAAAATATATGCACTGGATTTTACACCCGCAAATATTAATTAAAACATAAATCCGCTAGAAAATTTATTGTACAACACAATTATGCTTAATCAACTTAATTGACGCTGGATATTCAACTTTAATTTAGTTAATAACAATATTTCTAGTAATTTACCAACAAACACAAATATTTTGGTGCCTTTAAATTATGCTCAATCAACGGAATTTGAAAATTGGAATGCTATTAATGAATATCAATGTTTTTTCTCTCCAATAATTGTATTTAATGTGATTTCGTTGGAACATTATTAGTGGGCGCGGCGTTTGTATGTTCCCTGGCTTGAAACATTGGAAATATCCCTAAGTAGATCTTTTGAAAGACAATCCGAGCGCTTTCCTAAAGTGTATTAAGACGTAATTGGGCTCTTGGTGAAGTATTCACATATTCAATCAGGTATTGTAGAAGTAATTCAGGGAATCCATAGGATAAGTTAACCTCGTTTGAGAGTGTCTTATTTCTTAATGAGAATTCCATCTGGACTTTCGAATGCTTTCAGTTGCATTTCTTAGTATCCTTCCTGTGTATTTGGTCATCAATACCGATGGGAGTGTTGCTGTGTATGCAAACCCGAAACTATTCTCCCGCCCATTTGATATCTGCAGCACAAGGGGAAGCATATATACCTTGGGGCAAGCTCCTCAATCAATTACAGAGTCCATGTCTTTGGTCTAAAATTGCTGAAGCACTTTCTTCGTGTCGTGTATATTGATATCGCATGTACAGCTAAAAGGAATTTCTTCCTTATCACACAGAATGGGACTCCACAGTTTGAGATACAGAAAGTGGGCGGGGGGGGTGGCGTGGACGAAATGCAAAGCGAGTTGAAGCGCAAAGTAATGTGCTTATGACGAAGTTCACTTTAATTTCACCGAAAGTCAAAGAACTTCCGCTTCTTTCTATGGATGGGAAAAGCCACAACAAGATCTTCTGGCTTGAACCCTTCTCGTCGTCAACCATTGGAATTTATCCCACAATCCGACCTTTTTAACTTTACACCGCAGTGTGCCTAAGAAGTCATCAGACACGAGATTTTCCCAACCCCGCACCATGGCGCATACCTCCATTCTTTGTCGGAGCATCCATGCCAACCAATAGAAGAAACATGAAGAAGCACAAGTGTAAGAAGTGGAAGATGATGACAGGGATTTCAGCATGAGACTTCACCCACAGTGCACGAGTTTTGTTACCCTCACCCTTCCCACCCCCAATTCCATGTGCTGGGGATTCGGCTACGGGTGACTTGTGCTCCAGCTGAATCGAAATTGCTTATAGGATTTCCACAAAATACTTGCACGAGTGGAATTCTAACCACTTTCGTGACATTCCTCGTATGTATGTAACTTTGTGAATGATTTCAATAAGTTGAAATTGGATGGTTGTGTGCATTTCGATTTTACCATAGCGTGCGGGAATGGGGTGACATCGTGTGGGACCTCGGAATGAGTTGTATTAGGTGCAATCCAATACGCGCCGCAGCACTCTCCCATCAGGCTTCTTTCAAAGCTCACCACCAAAGAGCATAAGGTGTGAAATTGTAGAACTTACCAAAATATTTGCCCTGAAATGTTATTGGGGGAACTGCTAGGTAGATATGTATATTTTCAGCTAAAATCTCCCGTTCTTCACAAATACGTATGTATTAATACCAAGGGGTAAACATGTAGCGCAATCACGATTCACAGAGACTACAATTTTCGCAATCCACAATCCCTAGTAGAAAATCTGAAGATAGATTTTAAAATATTTGCGAATAGATTTTAGAAGATGTAAGGTTGATTTTTTTTGAAAATCTGACGAGAATTTTAAGAAAAGCGGAGGATGATTGTAGAAGAAATTGCTCAAATCTCTTTTGCTAAAATCTTGCAACTGGTTACTAAAAATCTTTCCCCTTAGAGATATTTATTATTATTTAATTTCAGAGAAATTGTCATCCTCGAACCAATTGATAACTATTGCTACAAGAGTCCTTACAAGGAGAGTTTTAAGTAGAAAGAACAAACTTCACGAGATTGATATCGCACAGTGCGACGATTGCTCCGATTGACTCTCAATATGTAGATTGCCAGAGACTCTTTTTCCTCCGACACCATCGACGTGTGCCCTCTGCACCCCCCAGACAATCAGATAGTGGGTGAAAATCCTTCAAGTGTGTGAGTGGATTTGAGATGGCTCTGTTTGAAAGTCAACCCAATGGGTTTCAAGTAAATATTTTCCAATGTCTTTTTCCACGTCCTCACTGCACAATCCGTTTCCCACAATTTGCCACAGCCACCATTGCCGCTCGAGAAATTTCGGCAGTGGCAAAAACAATACACTTTGCGGTGTATTTGCTCATGTGCTCCACAGTCCCACATAGCACGGTGAATTTGTAGGTGCAATGTGTGCCTCTGCGGTTAATATCGGGTCTAGTTTCGGGTTATGTGGGCTGGGGCTTAGCTGCAGCGGCGGCGTGGGGCCCGGGCGGCGGAGAAAGAGCCTAAATAAGTCCTGAACAAACAAATTGTGGCCCTCTTTAAGATCTCACCGCAATTGCTCACGCTCTGTGGTCGCCTAGATATGGGAGTTGATAAGAGACATCTTTTGTCTTCTCGTATTGTTCTGCACAATTGAATCTAAAGGACATTGCCATGACCAATAGAGTAAGTAATATGGACATACTCAGTTATTGACGAGGGATTGTTGTTTAATCAAGTCGATATATAACTTTGGGAGGAACTTTCTCAAGTATATGCTGAGATCTTAAAATTCTACAACTTTCTTAGATTAGAAGCAGAGCTGAGGGATTTCCCATGGAAACTCTATGTTTTCACATTCTCGCAAAGCTCTCAAACCCCATATCAATTGTGCCTCCTCAACAAGACATCTCTCTCTCTCAGTGAAAATCCCTTTTCGCACTCCTCGGCTGTTTCTGGAGCTTTGATGATGGCGAAACGAGGGAAGCATCAGGGAGAAAATTGACAAATGAAATTCAATTTAAGCGTCCCCTCACGGATATGTAGATGGGTGGGATCAAGTGCCATAAACGTTTACACAAGAATTACCTTCCTGCTTAAGTATTAACGAGCCCTAAGTACATTTTGTTTGCCAACATCACACACGTGAAAACTTAATATGGCAAGATTTCTAAGTGCAGATGGGGATGGAATAAAGGCTAACTATAATTGTCAAAGTGTGTATGTGTGCCTCTAAAATCTCCTCACACGCTCGCATTGGGGTTTGGGGCATAATCCACCCTCTGCTTTCACTGTGACTTTATTTATTTTCTCCACTGCGTCAGACACTGCCTTGAGAACACTAATATGTACATAGTTAATTAAAAAGTTGTTCTCTTTGTAGCATTTTCTTGAAAGAGCATAGCATGAATGTTGTCTTCACTCCCATTTCCATGCACATTCCATCCCCATAGCATTATATTTAACTTAGACGCACAATACAGGATACAACAGGGATAATAAAGCTCTGTGGGACTCCCTGTGTATTGCGGAGAAAGTCTCATCCAGATAAGGACTGAACCGCAGCCTATTGGTTAGAAATAGTATGTCTACTGCTTTAGAGCTTCCTTCGTGTATTTCACTGGGTACTGAGAGAAATATGAGCTAAAAGAATATTCATCACTGCATAAAATAACAAATATATCGTCCGCGATCTTTTGATTGACATATTTATTTTTGTTAATTCCTTACAAAACTCACAATTAGTTGACACTTTATCACAGAAAATCACCGCAACTTGGAATATGTTACAGAAAAAAGCTACTTTCACGGTAATTTCTCCGAGTACACTTCATCATCGTGCTCTTTGAGTATGGACTTGGCCAAGTATAAAATGACAAAGCCATTAAAATATGGTTTCATCCAGAGATTACTCGAACAATTGTTCGATATTGCTCGCCTGAAGAGATCCCCCTGTCCTTCGTCATCCCCACAAAGTCGCGAAGAGATTTTCTCCCTAGATTCCTGGGTCGGCTGGTGGGGGCGCCTGGTACCAGGCGCACAATATGAAACTTTATATCTCTCCAGCACCGCGTGCAAGTTTCGAGGGGCGGGACGAGCGCTATAGCGTGAGTAGAATCCTTTATAATAATCCCAGTGTCTTATCTCGATGGCAAAATATTAGCCAAAAATAATTTCTCCCGCTATATGCGGAATTATTAATAAAATTGAACCAAAGTGGCTGGCGCTGTACAGTAACAACCATGAGATATGGTGCCATTATCTGTTGCTTGGATCAGTTGTTTATAGTTCATGCAATCTCATTCTTGCCACCCTGACTACAAGCACCACACCATGTTATATTCTTCATCAATTTTCCCTACACTGATTGTCTCTTTTGGCTTCGCCAGCCATGAAAGATCAGCTCAGACGAGGGACTCGTGAGGATTTTAAGATGAGAGTCAAAAATGGGTTTGTGCACAGAAAAGGGGTGATATGTAAATTCCATTGGATTATATGATTACTATAATACGGGAGACAATATCACAAGCCAATATTCGCCCCTCCGTGAATTTCAGCTGAATTCTTCCATATTCATATACTTTCTACCCGTCTTTCTCTCTCCCACACGCTCAGCATTATTTCACATCCAACATAACACAAACATTCCCCGACTCTCCGTCGTAAGATATAAAATCTCGCCTCCTCACCCCCTTCGTCTTCTATACATTTACATTAGAGCGAAATATCTTCAGGGGAGATTCGGTGAGAAAAGCTCTCCTAGTCGCATAACCACAGTCGCATACAAATGCGTCTCAATAGTGGGAATAATATTAAATTTTAATTAATTGTCTTATTAATTTTATACGATTTGTATTGTGTAGAATATCGATGAAGCGAAAGTGGATATAAGAGGAGCATCAGGATTGAGGCTCAAACCGCCTCGAGCCATCCAATAAGCCTCTCACAACCCCCAACAGTTGGAGGACCAAAGTGTGAGACAGATAATGGTGGAGACACAATAATAGCAGGCAATACAAACCATGATGATAACTCTATATGGCTTCCAAAAGTATAGTTATTTATACGGCAAATGGAGGAGCATTTCGTGCGCAAAATGAACAGTGAAATGCTAGATTGCGGCAATAGTTTTTAGGAGGCGAAGGATGGAAACTGAGATAGGATAGAAAGTTTTAATATGATAAAATGTAGAAAAGCATTTCAACGCTCTTAATAATTTTGCATGTTGCCACAGGGAGAAGTGTTAATGCTTTCGGCAACTTGTGCAATTCAGCACTGAAATTCTCAAATGATGTTTTGATATTTTGAACACTAACATACTCTCTATTCACTAATTTGTAAACTCACACGAATATACATTGCAAAATTGTTCGTCATTTAGGGTTTTTAAGAGGACATGCCATGGAATTGCATTACTTAAATGTTGTGGGCAAAAGGAATCGAATTTCCCTACACTTTTGCCCAGAACACTGAAGGGTGTTCGGTAAAATCTGTAAATGCAGACATGTTTTCCTCTGCGGCTTATTAACTGAACACTTCTCGCGACATTTTCTTGCATCTTCTCTCGAATATTGGTGTGACGAAGGAGAGACTGCAGAGCGATTTAAACCAAATTCAAGCACTGGGAATTGGGTGGAACAAGAGACACTCAAATGTTTAAGCCACTGACTCACACTCAGTCGCATTCACTGGGGTGCACATAAAGAGTCCCCTAATTTTACGCCATTTACATCACACGATGGTGCATGTTGTGTTACAGTCCGGAAATCAGTATTCCCGACACACAATACCTGACCCAAGTTGGAGGATATTTGAGGAGTCTCTGCATCCGTCACACCACTTTTCTCCCATCTTCGAGTTGATCCCTCACCCATCGCACCAGCCATTGTGCGATCATTGTCACCGCACAAGTTTTGTGTATCGGGCCTCAGCCCAGAAAAGCTTTCACACCCCACAATGGAACACTTTGAGCATGGCGCACAGCTCCTCCAATTGCGGGGATGCACTTCAGTGTGGAGCTATGCAATATTATTGGGCATGTACCGCATACGAAAACAATCTCGGGGGCTGATTGGAAGGACAGAGAGGGAGAGACAACGCGGGCGAGCAAGACAAAGTGACTATCGCAATCAAACACCCTTCAGCACGAAATTGTGAAAATTGGCGCGGCGAGGAGTGCATTGGGGGAAATGGGGTGCGAGGCAGAGTCACTTCAGTTGCCATTTATACGGTGTGTCTCTGCGATGTTTGTCCCGCCAGGACTCAAGGGTCGTACGGGTGGAACACCCTCGGGATACCCATGCAAAATTGCACCCAAGAATTAATAATGGTGGGTCTCTAAAATGCTCCCATAATTAATGGGTGTCACAACCAATTATCGCTCCATTATATTAAACCGCCTCTGCCAGAGCAGCCTCAGACGTCCACCAGCAAGCAATATAGTGTTGTATTTCAGAAAGGCTCCACTGTCTCAGACACCAAAGACACCCCAAGGAACATCCTCCCTTACTCATTTTCGTCATTCTTCGCTGCAGTCTGAGCTTCCGAAGTGAATTGGAGCCTTTTGTATAGCCTGGATTTTAATTAATTTTTACTTACAATCTATATACACTGTTTCGTTGAATATAAATTTCTCATAAATGTAAGAAAATCATGTATGAATAGGCAATTCATGGAGAATCTTTTGCTATGCAGAAATTTGCATGAAAATTTATTCATTTGCCATGGTTTTTCATCGTGACTGGAATAACAGGGGGGAAAAAATCCGAAATGCATAGCAGCTTCTTGTTGAGCTTTCAATGAATCTTCTCCATTTTCGCCTAGCTTGGAAGATAATAACAAAGTGCCGAGCGCGAATATATAATTAGTGCTATGTAGAGCCTCTAAAAATTAGTTATATTCCCTGAAATTCTGCAGTGTGGGGAAAACTAAAAAGCGCCTAGGAAGACGGCAAATAATAATTACTAAATGCTGGCACAAGTGGATGCCTCCGAAGGATGGCAAACAGTGGCACTTTCCGCGCCCCACCTGCTGCCCCATGTGCCAAATGTACAAGGCAATATGAAGTCTTCCTTCCTCTGGTCTCAACTCCAATTCAAGCGGATGGCGATGGGAAAAGTGTGTCGGGGGAGCAAGAGAGATGGAATATGGCTTTAATGTAGCATTGGGTGCGGAATACGAGAGGTCGGATGTTAATTTCTGCTGATGAATTTGGTCTAATTAGATTTCACTGGGGTTTATATGCAGTCGACGAGAGAGAATATTGCCCCCTTGTGAATATCAAAGTGTATTTTATCACACAAACGACCCCTCCTCATGGATCATTAACATTCTTTTTCTTATCTCCTCCGCCACTTCCACTTCGCAGTCCCACATTTGGCCCACGGTTGTGATATGTTGCGCCAAGCTTGTAGCATCATTCCCACAGACTCACGGGCCGGTGGGAGACAAACAGACAGAGTAAATAGAGAGCTGAGGCATACAAATTCACCACTGAGAGGCAAAATAAAAACAATGTATAATAACATCTTGCCTGACACACACACAGAACACGGCCTCGGAGCCACAGAAGAGGCACGGATCGATGGAGGGAATATCGGCAAATGTCGGGGAGTAACAGATTTTTTCCCACTCAAATATTGCTGACATGTATGAATATTTTAAAGGCTGTTTGCTCCTACTCTTACTTTCAATCTCCCAATCTGAGACTGTAGACAGACAAGACATCCCCGGGAATACAATTCGGAGCATCTCACAAACTGATGTATTTATATTTTTCTTGTCTCGCACGCTGCAAACATCAAGATCCGCCGATGGTGAATCTTCGATTGGGTTCAACATTGTCAGCAGATGACATCAAGGAGGGTGACGACGTTTATTTCGAGTGTCACGTTCAGGCCAATCCTCCGTGGAGGAAATTACTGTGGTTACACGATGTAAGTATCACAGCCACCCCGCGAATATGACATTCCATTGTCACTCAACATATCATTCGCACATTTTAGCATATATTGGCAAATTTGCGAATTCCACCAATCGCAAACATTATTCTTGCATTTCTATTTTTGCCATCTTGACAGCGATTGATGGCGCCACACCTGGAAAATATTATAAAAATTCTTGCCAGAAGATGACATCAACGATTGCTTGTCAAGAGCATTTCAACACATTGCAATATTGCCAACGTCGCATCACTTATCTTCGTGGCTTTCACTTATATTGCAATAGAAGCTGTTTGCGTCACATGTTGAATACGTTCTGCGGTTTCTCCGAGGCTTATGTTAAGTTCAACAATTTTCTGCATTATGACTTAATTAAGAGCAAGGTTTCTTAATAACATATAACTTGAAGTTTGGAAAGATAGGGAAAGTAAGTGGAGCGAAATCTAATAACGCTTCTAAAGTAAATAAGTGGAATGAAAACTGTGCTTACTTTGTAAGCATTTGTCAGTCAAACTATACAAACATAGAATGATAGTTTTTACAAAACAAAATTGCCACTTAATAGTGAGAAAATTTGCTTTTGCGCATCAATACATGAGAGAAATTCTCTTTGCGGTGTGTGCATTTTGAATAATTCTGCGATACACATTCTTAAGAAGAAACGCCTCGGGGAAACCGTGAAGTTGCTCAGCAAAAGTCACAATGCGTTTGTGATGGAAAACAGCTGTAATGATGAGCTTTCAGTGGGATTTTGCGAGCTGTGCTAGTGGGATTTGCACAAATTGTCGATCGCTTGTAACAATGATTGATGATTGGTAATTTCACAGCAATTGAATTTATTGGAATGAAATTGATTTGAATTTACAATAGCACAATCTCCTTTTCATCACCCGCCGAAATTGCTCCTTTTGCACCTCGTGTCGTCTCTCCTGAGACTTTTTCTCAGGTGCGCCACCCTAACTGAGCCTTAATATGTTCTGCTGGAGGCACGGCGAAGCAGGCGAAAAAAGCGTGCCCCGGTCGTAATTCAAGAGGTATTTGTTTGACATCATCTGCGCCCATCATCAGGGAGTCAAAAGGGAAACAAGCAATAAAACACAGGCAATAGAAACCACTTGTATGCTGACAAAATGGAAAATTGATTTGCTCCCAAAGCTCCGCAATCAATATTTGAGCTATATATGTAATTTTGCAATTCAAATTCAGAGAATATTCATATGAATGTAATTTATTCTGAAAAGTGAATGTTGGGCTCCCCGTTAGACATCTCGCTACGGAAAACGTCCAGTACAGTGTCAAAATACAGGAGAGCAATACAGTATCTGCTGAAAATTCTATGTGTATAAATTGAATCACTTGGCAATAATGTTCAGTGGAATACACGTTTGAGTTTTGTAAACTCGCTACGGAAACTGAATTCGTTCCTTCCAATTGCTTGGGTGAAGCTTACCTGGGATAGTGGAAAACTGTCGTTCATACATGCATTGATTATCAATGGCTCGGATATTGGCTGAAAATTTATACAAAATTCCACACTTGATGGCTCGCATAAAATGCAAGCCTGCATGTGAATGAGGAAAATATTGAGATTGACTGAAGCTAAAGTCTTTCACTTTTCCCTTAATCATAAAAATTTATAGAAATTTCAACTTTATACTGATTTCTAATGAATAAATTTGAATTTTCTCATACTCCTCGAAGAGTTTAAGAATTTCAATTCATTTTTTACAGTCTATTTTAAAGGGACCAAAAATGCACAAAAATGTCTCTTTACTACCGTAATTTTTTTTTACCAATTTTCCCTCTTAATAACTACTTATCAAGCATTCTGTTCGATACTTTAACTTTCTATAGAATGGAGTTTAGCAAATAGAAATCACGAGTGAAATTGTTAGCCACTCTGAGTCTGCAATATGTGTATTATTGTAATTTTTCCCGCAAAATATCCTCTGACTTTACGTGAGTATTTGTGCATTAAAAAGTTCATTGAATGAGCTGTATAGAAGAGGAAAAGTTGTGCAATATTGGTTTCGTTATGCGCAAAACGGGGGTTTTCTCTCCTCAACCATTTCACAGTTTCTCCACCTCGTCCTTTCCTTCGCCTTCCGCGTCCGCTCGGAGTCAAGGAAGCGAGAGTGAACATAAATGGAAATTTTCCCAAGTGCCTGTAACAACGTGTACAGTTAGAAAAAGCTGTATCCAATTACCAGTGAATTGAAAATACAACAATATCATATGGTTGAGACGATGAAGGGTGTCTACGTCGGAGTGACGACACTGAATGGCGGCGGCATTATACAAGTGGAAATATAAAAACACTATAAAGGCGAACTCACTCCATTGGGCCACAAAATGGAGTGATGAAAAGATCATAAAAGCACATCCGAAAAGGGAGTAGCAGGGATATACGGCGGAGTGGCTGGGGTGATGGGCTCTCGAAGAAAATGGGCGGGTGATGAGCTTAGGGGGAGTTAGGGATTCATGGGGGGTGTGAAGTAGCGCAGGAAAAGTTCCCAAATCATCCATCCACCGCTGGGGCTCACCAGCCCAAAAGTGTGAGCCCTCAAACTGGGCCCCCGAGACGAAATCGCAGACGAGTAATTGCAGTGTTTACAGGCACCTTTATTTTAATCAGCGCATGTTTTATTGTATCCTGAACTCCGCCGCAGCGTTATAAATCCACAGCCATTTAATTACAAGCATTTTTTTCTTCGCCTTCCCAACCACGCTCTCGACAGGGTGTTTACCTGGCCCACAACACCACGGCCCGCGTGATAAGGTCGAATCAGAGCCTCGTCTTGCAGAAAGTGACGAGATTCTCGGCCGGAAACTATGCCTGCAGTGCAATCAACCAAGAGGGTGAGACGGTGAGCAACCAACTGCCTCTCAGGGTGAAATGTAAGTATATACAATGATCCGTGACATTTTGCATGGCACTCGAAAATTATTTCCATGAAATCTGCCCCCAAATGAGCTTATAAAGTCTCGAGAGAGGCTGGCAAGTTCGGACGAGTGGAAGCTCAACTGTTCAAGATGAGAGTCTTTGGCTGGGAGAGACATGAAGAATTCAAGATATTTTCCATGACTTGATAAATATTTCACTGCAATATCCATGATTAAATACTCTCTGAACTAAAAATTTTCAATTAAAATTTAATATTCAACAAGTTTGACTAACATTTTCTCGCATGAATCATATTTGCTTGTTTGGAAAAAAGCTTCACCACTTGAGAATTTGCTATTTTCGCCTGGGTGAAAGAGGATTTTCCGGAGTGGCGTCCCGAAGAGGACCCTCTGGCTTTCCTCTCGCACGGTTTGTGCTGAAAAGTACATAGCATACGTGATGTGTGCTGGCTGAAGGTGAGCTCCTTCGTCAACTTCAACCTCCTAAACGCATTACCACCCCGCATCTAACCCCATCGCCGCAGCCGTACAATGTTGGCGAATATTTATATAGCAATTTATGGATGGAAAATGTTTTTCTGCCTGTGCAGAGTTTGACGCTTTCCGGGGAGGAAAGGCCACGGAGGATGCGAAGTGTGGTAATGTGTGCTGGGCAAATACAGAGGGCAAGAGAATGTCGGAAAAAAGAGCTATTGAGCACTTTTTGCCATGCTTTTGGTAAACAGTCGTCTTGTTTTGTGTAAATTTCATTTTATTATTGTACCCCACCATTAAACGATCAAATTGCCACCCACGATCTTGTGTTGGCTTTCGGGATGCTGGCAGAGAGATTTCACTCCTTATTTATGGTTGCTGTCAAAGGATGGAAGTTTAGCATTTTGGTATTTTTGTGGTGTTGGCCAAAGTACAAAATATAATGTGGTTAATTCTATTTTATAGAATGTAAATTAGGGGTTTTTGCCACTTGGCTGTGACTAAAAACATTATACATTTTGTGTCACTCACAAAGTGAAGTACATGGCAGGAGACAAGCACATAAAGTGCATTAATTAATTTCCCAGAAGTGGAATTCTCCACCACTTCAGCACGAATTTCCATGAAAACGCCCCAAAAAAAAGTCCCATTGTATGTTTTTACTGTATTTATTTAATTCAAGCTGTACGAAATAAAATATACAATAATTTAAACCAAATTGTGTTAAATATTGTTCACGATGAAATCAATATAGCATAGAGTTATGGTTAATATTAGACACATTTTATTTCAATATCACACAAAAAGTGAATCTGTCCGAATGGCGTGCAAATTGCATTTCCACAGAAATGCACATTTATGAGAAATTCATTTTGTGAAATTACATTTAAATTAATGAGTAGAGTTGAATGGGGATTTTTTTACACTTTAATTATTTCTAGATAATTTAATACATATTATAGTGACACTTTAGAGTTGAATTTCAATATAAATTTGCTTTCATACGAAATCAAATTTGCGCAGTCAAATTTCCTTTCAATGAGGCGCTCAGCAATCGCGAATTGAAGCCAAGAGTGTTTCCCGGAGACCAAATTTTTTCCGGGTTTGCAGGAGGAGAAATGGCAAATGCGGCAAAGATGAATGTAGTGCACAAATGTGCGAGAGATTCGTTTTTGCAGTAGGTATATTGCCACAATTTACATTCTCATATTTATACATAATTTTTTATTTCCTCTAATGTCGCAGCGGAATAATATTTTTGGGGCCCGTTGCCGGTGGATCGGAGCCACATGCACTCGCCACTCGTCGTACATCACTGGGAAGGGCATTAAATTACCATAATCGCTGTTTTTAAATCATCATTAGAAGCCCGTTCTCACCGTGCGAATGAACCGTGCTTTTTTCCTCGGCGCCACTCGTTATATCTCATGAGCTTTCACCCAAGTTCGTTTGCTGGGCGCAATGGTGAAAGTGGGGCCGTGCCGTGGGTGGGCGAAGAGAAATATGAGACGGGAGGCGAATAGTGGAGAATTTTGTGTGTGTGGAATGCTTTTTGGTCCATTCTCCGGCGGTCCGTACGTGCAACTAGCGCAAATGGTGATGCCTTGCAATTGGGCTGGCATTTGCTCGGCGTGTGTGTGCGGGGGCGGCAGAGCTCTGTCTGGAGGAAGACCATCTGGGGTGGCTCGCCGGGTGGGTGGTCAAAGGGAGTTGGGTTATTACTTGTTAGTGCCTCATGAAAATGTAGTACACATCGCATGTTGTAAGTGGGTTTGTGCTACAGAAAAGAATTTCCACCGCCATCCTTCACCATGAAAATCCTCCACTGGCCCCTCGCTGTGCACCCACTCACACCCCCCGAAAGCCGCCCAAGGAGCTCCACATTCACCGCCGGTACTTTGCTCAACGGTGGATGAATGTGTTTTAGGCCACCTTTCGCGGAATTCTTCTCGGTTTGTTAGCACCGTCCGCCCTTTGCTGATTTGTTGAATCACTCGTAATGGATTTACAAGGCTGTACGAAACTCCTTTGCCACACACTCACATGCTCTCTTCGCCACCAATTTTGCCTCTTCCATCTGTTCCTTCTCACACGCCAAGGCGGAGCTTCTGCTGCTTCTGCTGTACCAAATGATTCACAAGGCATTAAAATAGTTCGAGAGAAAATTCAATTGAATAAGACAAAAAGCTATCTAACTGAAAACGATGAACACTTTACTCAATTGAGATTCTGATTTATCATGTAGTGTTTTCACAGCTAAATGTACACTTTTTTCCCCGACGCTTCTCCCTTTGATTATATAGTCAATGCCAGGGCGAACGACTGGCGAGAGAAAGTGCATATGGCACAGAGAAAGGGCCACGAAATTACAGAAAATGTAATAAAAATGTTTTGCAGGAAAGTAAAATGAGTGCAGGATGGGAAGAAGAGAGATGAGATAAAAGGGGTGATTAATTAGTTGGGAATCGCCTAATGAATACAAATGAAACAGTCCAAGGATGTTTTCCGCTGTTCCGGCAGGATAATTCCGTGTATGAGTGGAACAAAGCACCGCATTTGGAGTCTAAAAGACGCCAAAACACTTTTCAGCGCAGAGGGAAGGGGGAGGGGGTGAGCCTGGGAATAAATTTAAAAACTCCAGCGAAGCTCTTCAAGCTCACGGTCGATGTATAGCCCAGGAAAAGGGTGGGCAAACACGATTCAGCTCAATCTCTTCTCGTTAGGAGCGGAAAAGTCATGACTTTCTCGGGGTGGTTTTCTGACCATGACACTCTTCTCGCCCAACACATGTAGCATAAAATGATGATTTAATTTTTTGTCGTGCCACTCCAAAACCTCCATCATGCTGTCTGTTGGACAAATTTCCGCAATTTTTAATTCTCTTTCTGGGGGTTTGTCCAATTCACCGTGCTGAGCGTAATGCAAATATGCACGGCTGGTTTCGTCCCTCGGGATAATAGTCTCTGTTCTTCCTGCACAAAATTTTTCCAACTGGTCCTCTGCAAAACGTACCAAAGTGCATGATGCAACGACTGTGGGCAATGATGCGCCCACACGAGTAGCCAATTACACTGTACCACAGACTTCAGACAATGTCGCCCAAGAGACGAGGCGACTTGAATAAGCAGAGCTTTCTCGAAATTAAAAAATTCTCAACTGACATTGCGACATTGCTCCTAATATGCTTTGAGATGCATATTACACAACGAAAAAGCAACACGTCATGTTGCTATTGCTTCTCTAATTCATCGAGATTGCAAATTAAAAAAATTGTTTAGTTCAACTATTTGCATTCGCTGTCCTACAAGTGCTGCTTGAGTTGAAAAAATACGCGGAGAGAGAGAGTGAAATGATTTTTTTTCTCACCACACTGAAACACGAGTCTCAAGCTGAGGAGCTCATCTGTTTGTGAGCATTATATGAATTTGTACAGAGGACCCTTATGCTTTGCACTGGAGAGCGGATATAAATTCTGCAATAACACGGAATGTGGTGCGGAAAAATGCTGGAAACCACTGGTATGACCTTAACTGGTGGAGTGTATTATGCGGCAAGCTGTGTGATATTTTATTATGACTTTTGGGGTCATTCGTATCCATCAGGATTTAGCTGAATCTCTAATCTCTTTGGATATTTTGCCACGATGGAGCGACACGGCGCAAATGCATATAGACGGGTGGATGAAGCTATGAGAGCCAGACAGAGGCAGGTGACATAAATTCAGGCATCCGTGGAAGGGCAGCGATGGTGGGAATGGTGAAAAGTTGAAATGGGTGGCAAAAAAGCAGCACAGCCACCTTTTATTTCACCCCATGAAATATGACACAGTTCTTATCACTCGACAATCATATTCGCACATTCTGACTGCCATTCGTCACGGGAGCTTTTTTGTCATCCCCCGCCGCGGAGCTTTTCATTTGGCTCCCCACTCAACAGTGCATTTGGAGGTGTCAAAATATACTCGGATATAAATTACACGCCCATTTTGTATCGGTGACAACTGAAGAACTGCCAATAAATCGCGCAGATTACCTTCATCTCTCAGCTAAAAGCTGCGAGAGACTTTCCAATTGTCACTATAAATTTACATTTTTATATTGGAATGCAAATAAAAATTCAGTGTGTTGCGAAGATCAACTTTCAACACATGCAATTTGGATCCTCCTCTAGATTTTGTTTACTAAAGAAGCGCGGAGGTTAAATTTGCAAAGGACGATGTGTGTTGAGACTCTTAATGCTATTTATATTCACATAAGAAATAAATATTGGACTTCCCTTGGCGGGTATTAAATTGGATTTTCGTAGAGGAATAAATTTTGCGGACATTCTCAAGCATTTCCATCTCCCTGAAGACGAGCCAGTGCAAAATGCAGAAACCAACGCTGTCGCGCGAAGATAGCGTCGGAGGGTGCAAATGGTCCCATGGAAGAGGGGTTGTGACAGAGCAAGAGAGAAATTGTGGATATTGCAAAAATGTGCATTTAATTTCCCCCACGGAAAGTCTCACCACTTGCTAATATTTCTGTCTGGGCTTCTTGTATATTATGGCAATTTATTTACAATTCATACCCCGTGTGAGGGTGTGTGCAGCCAATATGAAGGGGGAATTGGAGAAAAGGCGGGCGCAGGGGGAGGCAGATTGCATGGACAAAGAGGCAAATAAAATGTGTACAGCAATACAGTTGCTGAGGATGAGCACTGTTTACCATATGGCACGGAAGAGCCCTCGAAATTATTAAAATACTGCGACACTTGCATGTTGAGTTGCAATCCTCTAACAAGGCTCTTCTCTGCATCCCCGCATTCCGAATGGGCTCAATCGTTCGGCTCTTCCTTCTCTCCTACTGCGAATTGATAACTATTCATATGCGTTCAACGTTGAAATTTATTGTTTTGTGTGTATATGATTTCCCTCTACAGTCCCATTATGGCCCTTTCCCTCTCACCATGACATTCCCATATATTTGCTGATATTTTTTCCCCTCTACGGAGGATCCGAAGAAGCCACCGTGAGTTGGGAGCAGAAAACAGTTGAGAGAAGTCGAGGGTGGAACGAGGCGGAGAAAATTGTATTCAAATCCAATAAAAAGTTACTTTATTTGATTTCCTTGGCAATTTAGGTGTGAGGGCATGAAGAAGAAAAGACTCGAGTGTCTCTCCACCCACCCTGACGAGAGCTAAATTTTCTTCAACTCGACATTTCGTCCCTAGAACTTGCAAGATATATTGGGAGGCAACTAGCAGTGAGATACTGATTCACTGTTCGCTTATGCATCACCCATAATGTCTCCCAGCCGATGGCACTCCATTGACTCGAAGAGGGGCTGAAAATTATGGCAATGGAAGATAATTCAGCAATTCAATAACATTACATTTTTTCGATTTTTGTATCGCATGAAGAGTCTATAAAGTTGGATGTTCAATTTGCATTTGAAACTTGGTCATTCTTTGTTTGAAAATTCTATACAAAACCTCTCGGACGCAGTGAAATTTAACATATTTTCTTCGAGCCTAAATGGAAGCAATACGGAAAGGAAAAAAGAGTCCAATGATCTGCAAAGAATAGTTGAAAGCCTCTTTTCTCTCCTTCCCGAGACGTTGGTATGCAATATGATATATTCACTTTTAGACTTTCCATTGCCACTATTCATAACTTTTGCTCCGAAATGTTTGCCACCATTAAAATAGACGAGATGACATATCTGCAGAGAAAATTGTGAGGTGTTCCAGGTGAGGATGATGAAAGAAAAATATATTCGTGCAGCAGAAATTGAATTGTGTATGCTCAAGTTTATATTTGACATTAGGGATATTCGCCACCCATGGCAACTAGGTTCCGCATTCAATAAAAGGGGGCGAAGAAGGGTCTTGGAATGTGCATCCCCTTCTTAGGCGTAGCTCTGCCGCCCTATGACTTCTTTCCACCGTGAATGTCTTCATTGTGCGCTGCCAGAGTCGCACCGCTTCTCACTTGGTTTCTGATATATACAGCCAACATTTGTAGCAACTTTTTGCGTGATGATCTCACACCTTCGAGAAATAGGAATTCCACTTCTTCCTGCCTCTGTTATCCTTTGCTTCCTGGGATGTCGCTGTGCTGATGGGACACAAAGCCAGAGAAATGCCACAATATGAAAATTGCCACTTTACCATAATATAATTGTCATGCTCTCCCCCCTCCCTCTCGCGTAATTTTCAACTTTTCTATTTCTTTTTCCCCTCTTCTCCCTTCCAGATACACCAATTTGTGCGACAGACAAAATTCTCATTGTTGGCGCTGGCAAAGATGAGAATGTGGAGATTGTTTGCGATATTCATGCCGATCCACCAGCCAGGTAATTGCTTTTTCCCATTCCCAGTAAGATTGATATTTAGAGATTCCTTTCTTCACACACGTCATTGTCCTCACTTCGTCCTTCCTTTCATGTGTGACAAAGGAGAAAAAGAGCACATCGAGAGGAAAACAGGACAAATGGGAAAATGGAAATAAATTACATACAATTCGCCGTACAAAACATGAGCGATGCCGATAGATGACTTTCTTCGTATGTGAATTTTCCCAGGATGAAGAAATTTGTATTTCAACCATTTCCACCTTGGCAAATGACTGTGCTTTTTTGGCATCTGATATACGGGGAAAAATCATTACTCAAATTAAAATGGCAAATTTAATATGGAGAAGCATAAAAAACACTGAATTTATGGGAAATATATTTTCTAGAATATTTTATTGTTATTGACTTTTCAAACTTCTGTTCAATTGATTCTGAGCTTCACTCAAATATAAGTGATTCCTGTTTCCCGAATCATCCAATATGCAATAACTTCTCCGTAAGCAGGACTCATTTCGATTTTCGATGCATAACTGCTGAGGAATATTTTTATATTAACGAGCAAGTAGAGTCTTATTTTGGCTGACGGAGTGCTGGAAAATATGACAAGACAGAGGAAAAAATTGTGTTATGTGAAAAATTCCAAACACAAACATTCCATTACTCAAATTTCTCCTCAGTTTGGCCATTATTGCTGTTCTCTGACAGAAAAATATAAAATTCCTCATCGCATAGAGGGAATATTTAAGGAGCCACTCTCGGAGGATATGATATTTCATGGACATACTTTTTATGGCCAGTTTCATTGATAATTTTCAATAGGAGAAAATCTCGGTGCTGCTTTTGGCGCAGCGACGAAAATCGAGAGATACCCCGAGAGTGGATACATTAAATTCCATTTAGCTGTAGAAATATCCCAGTCTAAATTGCGCTGACGGCATAGGCAATGGATTGTTGCTTGTGAAAAATTGCAATTGCGACATGTTGGGCGAAAAAGTGCCGAAAAGAGTGAGAGAGAGAGAGAGGAGAAGACAAGATAGAGGACATCCATTGTCAGGACTCATCAAAATTCATAAGATCCATTTAAAAAGAATAGCACTGTCATGAGGAATAATTTCATTTGAGTGTGTCATCATCAGCTCACTCTCTCGCAAACATTGTCATCAGCATCCACTTCCTCTTGTGGTGCTCAGACGCGTCGCTTTTCGGGTGGGGAGGCCCGTGATGGGGCATCAAGTGAAAGCGAGAGATTCCTCACAAGAGGGTGGATGACACAAATATAATCATGCATTAATTGTTGTCACACTCACACCCCATTTCCCTCATTTCCATCCGCCACCCATTCATTTTCCCAACTCCCCTCATTCTGTTCTCAGAGAAAATCCACACCCTCTCATGCGATGGAGTTCCATCTCAAAATATCATCCATGTTGGCATTTTTGCCTCTGCAGAACGTTCCGGTGGAAGTTCAACAATTCGGGAGAGACCCTGGACGTGGGCTCTGGCCGGTATAGCAGCATTAATGGAACTCGTAGTGTCCTACATTACACCCCTGTTACGGATCAGGTGAGAATGTGTTGCACATGAATAGAGAGTAAAAGTGTAATTCAGCCGAGGCCGTCACTCCATTTCACTTCACACCATTGTTGCGATTGTTGCTCTAGAGAAATCCGTGCTTTTCAGAGGCTCACAATTTGCATAAAAATTCCGTGACAGATTAGTTTCGCTCCAGCTATAATTTATGCATGGTTTAGGAATTTGAAAAAATCGAGGAAACCCGTGCACATGTCCTAAATGCACCCCTAAGTATTCCATATTCGTACGAAAACAATTCACTTTAACCATTTTTTTTTTGAAAAATTATTTTAAACAATGTCCATGTTTTGACACGTGCCTTAAATGTACAACATTTGCAAAATCACGACTTTAAAATTAACTTTAATCCCCAATTGTGTATGGCTTTAAACATACACGAGCAAGCCCTAAATTTGAGTGAAAAGAAAGTGCTCATTTATTTGTTTTCCGCCCTGTCGGGCTGTGCGGGGTTCAAAAATAAAAACAGCCCCGCACATGGCATATACATGCATATAGCACGGCTGAGTGGAAAATTCAGAGCAGGAAAGTTTGGTATGACGAGAAAATATTCAATTAACATGCAAATTTAATTCAATTAAATTTCTACACATCACAGTAACTTAATCCTTCTAAGCTATTACCTCAAAAAGTATTAACCCCGCGCCGCTTGCAGTCGCAGCAACTCTTCGGGGAACACACACACACTCGGAAGGGGTGACGGGGAATGTCGGGAGGGTTGTACACACATCCGTCGCTCGGCAGGGCTCCATGGGTCTCCTGGAGGCCCCACTCCACTGACCGGGACACACGTGAGAAATAATAATTGTGGTGTTTTCGGGTGGCTTTTCCAACTGTTGTTGAGCTCTTCAGGCGAGGACTTGGGGGATTTCAATGAGGTGTCTGTGTGGGAACAAGTGAAAATTTTCATTTTCCCAGGCATAAGAGTGTCGCCATTTTCAAGTACATGAGAATTAATGGGTGGTGTGGGGCCAATGGGAGGGTGGGGTGGCAAAATGGGTGGCGAAATGTCTCCCATGGAGCTGAAATTTTCCCTTGCCAAAAACTTCCCTTTAACATTCAAGTGGAATATAATGTGTTATAAGGAAAATGAGATGAAAGTGACGAAAATTTTGTGGGTGGTGAAATTCTTAATGCCTTTTTACCCCATACACACTAACATTTAAATGCTCAAACTTTCCCACAATCCCCGCCTCAACACCTGCCGAGAGCTGCTCCTCAATCGATTTGCCGACTTGAGCCTGGGTGCTCAGTGGAAAGGGTTTGACACACCACATCCGAATGTGCCGCCGTGGAATTAACAAATAATGCGAAGAAGAGGATCCACTTGATTGCATACAAGACAAATAACTCACATTCGGGCTCTTCTGCACCTCGTGCGGTGCTTTAATTTTCACTCGATGATGTCTTCACCATGTTGAGGATTACCTCAAAAGTTCATTAAAGGTGAAATATACAAGAACTCCTGCGTCTCCCAATACAACAGCGAACGTTCTAATTATTTCCAAGAATTTGCGGGTAAATTTCCCCCGACTTTCTGGGTCAATGGAAGTATGGATTGCCTCAACGGAGAATTTCAAGATTTTTCAACTCTAACAACACGTCTCCGCCATCTGCCTCGCACACAAAGTGTGTTATTCTTCAGTATTGCTTCCTATTTTTGTACGAATCAAGCGGAATCCTTGCGAGAGTTCCACCCGCTAAACACCCACACTTCGGGGCGTTGTATTCAAATTCAGTGAAATTGTACAAAAGGCATGTTAATACATCGGAAAACGGCGGCAGAGTGTGAGGTGCGGTGGCAGCAAATTCAATACATCGTGAAAGAGTTTTTATGTGCAAAGAGCACATATTTGAAAGATTTTTCCCTCCATCTGGGCGAAGACGCTGATGGAAAAAATCGTGCCAAAGTCACAACGAGGGTGGGAATCAAGGGGATGATGAGAGAGATGTGAACACGCAGCATTATATGGTTCATAAAGTGTTGTGTGTGTGTGCGGCACAAGGGGTCGACGGTGGATGTGTTATGAAGAAGAGAAAAGCTTTCACTATATACATTCGCTTACCTTCCATGCCAAGTTCCCATGCATGAGAGGGAAAAAGAAGCAGCACAGGATATTGGATAACGCGCGCCTTCCTCATTCATTCTTCGGAGGCTTTTATGGTTTTCTTTACGATTGCACTTAATTCCATCGTCATAATATTGGGAATCGTAGTTGAGACTCATGTACTAAGTATCTTTTACTCCTTGAGACCCTCTTTTTCATTCACACATTATTAGCTTCATCCTTGGCGCACAACGAGGTATCGCTTTTCTCATCGCTCCATTCTGTAAATGTATTGACGACCCCTCGAGCCTGCCACTTCCGGGTTTGGGGTTATGCGGAAGGTTCTCCAGCTCGTATTTCATATGATGGAAAATCCTTCAAGAACTGAGGGATTAGCACACGTTTGCCTGATTAGAGGGCGAAAGAGGAGACGCATTTTGCTGATTTGAGATTATTATATGCTTCTCACTTTTCAATCCGAATTTATTGACATCTCAATGAGGACCAACCTTTTTCCCAACCTCGCATTGTCCCTTATTTCACGTCAATTTCTCTCTTGGCCGCTTCAACTGCCTCATGATGGAGTTTTTCCCACCCCTGGAGCTTCCACAAATATTTTCCACCATAACTCCGGACACATTTACGAGGTAATAAATTAATTGGCGAAAAGCTCCATGAGAAACCGTGGTGCTATTAGTGTCTCACTCTTGAGATACTTTTATCATTTGGCACTTGAGTCTGCGGAATTGGCCCCAAATGTGGGCTGACGAGGGAAAAGTTGAGGCTTGTTGTGACTTTTATGTTTCATCGGAGTTTCACGCAGAAATAAAGCAGTGGCGGCAAAAGTCCATTGGGAGATGGGGTGATATAAAGACAGCAGTGTGGCGGGTGTGGTGAAATGGAGTGACGGTAAAGGTATAAATGATATAATTCGATAAGAGTTTGTTGTAAATCTGATCAATCTTACACAACATTTCTAACGAAGTTGTCTGCCTTTGTTGTAGCATTGTGTATACACATTAAGTGGTAGTATCTTAATTAAATTGAAACTCTCTGAACAATTTCATTCACAGGATTTTGGAACGTTGTCCTGCTGGGGGATCAGCGAAATCGGTCCACAGGCTCAGCCATGCATGTTCCAAGTTGTACTAGCAGGTTTGTCTCATATTATTTGTTGAAATGCTTGCCAGAGGAGTCTTCGAAGGGGTGTGCGAGGGGCCAGGATGCGTGCACTCAGAGAAAACCTATTTATCTGATTAAGGACGCTATGCGTGGCCAAATGCGCCTGATAAGAATTCTCCGTTTTTCAATTTCCAATGCTTTCCATCACTTTAGATTGATGATAGTGGTGGATTTCTCCGAGTGTTGCTGGCTGATATATCAGATAAGGAGGTTTCCTTGACTACCACTCCTGCTTGGCTCTGTGCTAATTGCATCCCGTTGCATTTGCATGCGGAGTCCCGAGATGAATTCCTCACGTTGACCGCTTTGTCCTTCAGTTGGGGGCATTTTATTGGGCGCTCCTTGCCATGTGAAAACGATAAATTATTAATTCCGTTTTTGGTTAATAAATTTCATCCGGCCGCCCTCACAGGATTCCCATCTGCAGTGAGCAACTGCACATTGTACAATCAGACGCAAATGTCTACAGAGATACAGTGCATTGCCGGATATGACGGCGGTTTGCCGCAAGTGTTTGTACTGGAGCTGTATTCACAGAGAACGGGTCGCACGAGGTAAATACCACTTCCCTTCCTGCATATTTCCCACAGTATAAAACACAGGATGCAAATATAGTGCTAGGGGTTGAATGTGCAAAGGTATGATGGCTCAAGTGTAACATGAGAGATATAGAGTGAAATAAATGACAAAGTGGAAAGTGGTGTATGTGATTTGTGCGCGCCACAATGAATGGCAAGCCAGCAGATTCCGTACACCCACCGTCATCCAGAAATCTCACACATACATCACACCGATTTCACTGGGGGTCCCTCCTAAATTTCCATGGAAAATCCCGCACTCCCGGGCGCGTCATGGCAGATACTCCTGAGCGAATGCCGTGTGTATGACATTGTGAATAGTTCTCGTGACTGCGGGGGGAAGATTGCGATGAGACAGCCTCAATTGTGGAGCGGAGGAGCTAGATTACATTACTTCTCGCAAATTTACTTCGCACGCCCCACATTACAGAGCAAACGACTGCCACAGCTCTATCGTGTTCTCTACTCATAAAACTTGACAAAGCACTCGCGATATTAAGCAATAATACTCTGCGGCGGTTGCATCGTGGTCGCGTCGTCGCTGAAACGCAACCATAACCCATATTTAACTGTTGAGACGCCATAGCTATAGTCTCACAATGTCAACTCCCAATTTCGCCATGAGTAATCATCATGTTTGCATCGTGCAAATTTGTGCAAATTTGAGAAACTAATCCAGTCTTGTGTCCTGGGCTGTATCCCAGTTTTTCGGCCATGACAAATTGTATTTGCAGATTGCTCCGTGGGTGTCCAATATCTGCGCTTCCCTCCCTCGGAGTGTGCAAGAATGCGGAAGTGGAGAGGAGCGGAATGTGCGGCGTGATGAATTATCTCCACTTCATTGTTGCAGCATGACTCCAGAAGAACATGGCTTGACAATAATTCTCTCTGGATGTCTATATGCGAAAGTTTCGGTGGGTGAATGAACACCACTCTGGCCCATCTGATTGCGACATTCTATAGCCGCTCACCTCCGTGACATTTGCTGATGCAGCCGCCCACATTCCACCCTCTCGGCAATTCGTTAATGTTTTTAATTAGAAGTGCGGTATGAGCATTAAATTAATGTAATAGACACCCAAAATTCTCTCCACTTTGACTCCTCTCACTCCCTTTGGCGCCAATGTCGGAGAGTCTATCGATTTAAGCGGGCCTGATGAGGGGATCATGTGTCTGCACACATACATAACAACACATTGGCAATCTTCCAGATAGATGTTCATCACATTACGCTCTCCTCAAATATTCATAAGCATGTCAAAACTGTCCAAGGCTCGTTTCGGCGGAGCCTCCGTCATTAGTGGAGGGATGGGGTGGGAAAATAGGAGCGAAAGAGGCAAAAAGTAGGGTATAAAAAGCACTCAAACCACACAGTGGGTATCACTTTTCAAGTGTTGCTCACGTCGTTCTTCATTCCTCAGTATGAGATTCATGTTAAAGTTTTTGGTATCTCGTCAGGAGGCGGTTGTTTAATCTGAAACATTATATTGAGCTATGATGTGAGTTGGTGTAAATCAAGAATTCTCACTTATTGGAGTGACATGATTTTGATTCCAAGGCATGTTCAAGATTGTATGGATTGTATAATTCAAATATGGTATCTTATGGAATACGGATTGCCTATTTAGTTCTTTCCTCATGATGCTTACCCAAATATCACTAATTGGCTTACCGTTCAATATACTGCCTTAATGCACAATACATCTTAATAGAGTGATAATCCACTGGGCTAAGAGGTTGTTAGCATATAAGCTTGATATTAAATTCAGTTGCATATCGATTTTGGAGCAATAAATTTTCATCATAGGTATGTATGCAAGATAGTGTATAAATTTACTCGGCGAATTACATCTGCAACTACCTGCTCAGCCCATCCCTGAACTTACAGTTCAGCTGTGGGTAGATTTTCAAATTAAAGCTGAATTTCGACATTGTTCCAAATAATGACATAGAGCGCAAATAAAGTCTCATCCTTTTCCCCCAGCATTTCATTGTGATATTTATAATTTGATAGCTCAGGATGAGCAAGAAGCATGAATAGCAGAGAAAAATGACATGAGAACCGAGCTGATGTGCATGACAAAAAACCCCAAAGCGGAAGAAGTGGAAAGTCCTCCCTTGTCGTACAGCGACATTGGTTTAATATTCCATAATTGACCGACACCAGAGAGCAACCAGAAGCTTACATTTCTGGCTGCTCTCTGGCGAGGACGGCAGGCAAAGTCTGACTCTTGATTTCACCATGGACGACAAGCCTTCCACATTGGCTTCTTCATGCCTGGCATGAGGCGGCTTCTTGTGCAACCATTTTCATGGTTTTTACCTCCCCCCACACCCCCCCTTGTGTCCTTATACTTGCGGAGTATGTGGGGACAGAGAGAAGCTGCCATGGAAAGTTTCGAAAACCACCCTCCTCGGACTTTGAATGCGGCATATGAACTTTCAAGCCATCCACAGTGTTGGGGCTCCGAGTGGGGTGGTCCAACCCTCATCAATCATCTTTTGATAATTTCCCGACCAATTTACCGTAAGTGTGCCTACTACACAATTATCAGGCTGGCCGTACAAGTTGTGGCATTTCGAGCAATATTTCCACAGCAGCTTTTCAAAAGCTTGCGCCATTCCTCAAAGTTCCGCTCTCACTTTTACTTTGGTGCTCTTTCTCGTAAGAACACATTCCACGAACTCCGACGTAATCAACCACTCGTCCAGTTTTAAAGCCAACAGTGTGAATACACAAATGTTGTAAGCTGAAGAAATCATATGAATACGAAATTGTCACTCCTTTCTCTTTAATCTTTTATTTAGGCCAATCTCAGATTTGGTAGGGTGTGCGAGTGTGATGCGATGGATGAGATAAAAGTGAAGTTCCTGACATGAGTGTGTTTTGTGTGGGTTTAATGGGATGAGAACACCTTTCGAGCACCTTCATGGGAATCCCCTCAAGTTCACACTAACAAACAGAGAGAGAGAGAGAGAGAGAGTGACTTTGTAATAATATAATTCACCATAAAATACAGATTAAACTTCACGAACTCCGAGGAGCCCTACTTCATTCTGGATTCACTGGATACACTGTCGTCTCTGATGACAGCGGAGAACGAGACGCTGGCTGCCAGGGTGTTTGCCGTCAATCAGAAAGGCCGCAGTCAAGGCACCGTCGTGCCCAAACTACAAATCGGCAATCGTGTGAAACAGACAGGTATGCAAATTAAATTGATCATACCTGAGAAACGAGAGTGGGACAGGACTCTCCGCTGCGAGGATGCTCTTTCAGTTTGACCCAGAAAACGCGACGGTTTGATTCATTTCCCCAGCCGAATAGAATGGGACATATTTCAATTGAATTAAACCTCCCGTCTATCTCAAATTTATGTATAGTCCGCCTAAATAATATATCCCGCCCGCCTTGTCGGGCAAACATCGGCCCCCGGGAAGGATGTTTGAGGAACGTGCTGAATAGATAATGTCGACTTTAGAATCACATTAAGCGGACGGGAATTTAAATGTGATTGGGAAAAATTGATAAACACTTTGTCAAGCAATTTGCAAACACTTTCATTCCCAAGTTGATTGATGGCATCTCCTGTGCGCGATGGCTGTGAAAATAGTTCAAAAATAGCCATTGAATTTTGCACAGAGAAAGCATCTTTAATGGAATATAAATTGCTTCTTAATTTCTTAAATTGCTGCCCCTTTATCCATAACAATTAAAACCTCTCTCAAAGCTACTTAAAGAGTCACTGAGTTCGGTGGGGAAAAAGCAGCAGATTCGCTGGGTATTTTGGGCATGTCGAATGAAGCATGAAAACTTTTTTCCACCAACTTTCATGGCGAAGTTTTGTGTGAGAAAATAATTCCTGTGGTATTAGCAGTATCACAGAGAAATTCAGTATGAAATTGAATGCTCACATTTCAATACAACATACAATTAGCTGAGCTTTGATGGGGGGATTTCTCCCACAAAAGTGGCCAAATAAAACTTTCCAGAGTCCTCTGGGGAATTTATTCTACGTGCGGATTTTTTCCTTGTCCCACAGCGCACAGATTGTGGAGTGGGGTGACATGAGAAAAGTGAAGAAAAGTGTGTGGGGTGGGGGTGGAAAAGAGGATTTGGGAACCCTCCAAAATGGTTCTCATTTAAATCCACGCGGAGGGTGTTCCTTTTTTCCGGGGCGAATTATTAATTGATTGTCTCTCCTTCGCTGGAGTTGGAGACAAATTTGCAGCGTGAAGATGTATTCTGTGCGCACTGTGAGTCCTCAAGTCGACAGGATAAAGCTGGGAAGCTCGAGAGGGGATTGGGCAGATGCTCTCAAGAGGTTTGAGAAATGGAAACTAAATGGGATTTATTTTGCTTTCTCTCTCCTCTTCTATTTTCAAACACGCAGAACACCAAAATCCCCTTCAGATGTCACCAGTTTTAATTGGTGCCGTGATAACTGTGATCGTCATCTGTGTGGCAATTATCCTGCGGATATGCTATGTGGTTGGTGTGCGGAGCAGACGCACCCCCAAGACATCCCAGCCCCCATCATCGGGGGCCAACTTTGTGTTCAGCGGGGGCGGCGGAGGCGCCAAATTGGAGGTGAGATGAAATGGGATTTGCATAATGTACACGAAAGCCAGCAGGATTCGAAGCACACACATTTATAGACAAACATAAGTGGGATTTTGTGGGCTCGAGGGGGTGTCAGTGGAGGGCGAGAGCGGAATTTTCTCAGTGGTGACAAAGAGATTCACACAGAGAGAATATTCATGGAATGAATTTTCTCATGGGATTACCGCAAGTGAGCTTAAACGCATGGAGGGAAGGATAGTGGCTGAATGTCAAAAGGGGTTTTAATATCGGAAGCATTCTGTTTTCGTGTGTATCTGTGCACGCGGACTTGGTTAGCGGATTTAATATCAGTATGATTGTTTTTATTTAGTCATGCACATGATGAATATTGAAGGAGAAGCAAGAACAAGAAGTTTGTGAATGTTAGAAAATTCATTATTCATAAAGGCCAGAGAAGTTATACAATTTGGTAAGACACATAGGATAAGACATGTAATTTCGCTCCTAATTAAACTCAAAGGCTATCCTCCGGCGTGCATTCAAACCTCGCTGGATCACAGGCTTGATTGCCATGTCAGAGGGTGCGGAATCACCTTGCAGAAAGCTCATGCAGATACAAAAAAGTCTACCCATAAATAATTCCATGTGTTTCGTTCTCTTTCTTTTTCCGGAGTGTTAAATTTTATAATATACAGTTTGTGTGGCTGCAAAAGTAGCATAAAGACTTTCCACAATTTCACCCATTTTACAATAATATTTCTTTCTCTATCTCTGTGTTTCTGCTGGTGTCATCGCGTTTTGCACAAAACCCGGGTGTAATAATTTTTTGTCGTGCGTCCCCGCATGGACATTATGCAGAAGGGCGGCGGCGGTCAAAAGCCACGGTGGCAGACAGATGTTAAATCAAAAGCATCCTCGACGATGGATACGTCTGCTGGCACCATCATGAGCGAGGATGAAAAGGATCCAGATGTGATACCGCAGTACGGTTGGTATTGAGCCAAATTATGGGCACGTCCGACTTCCTTGCAATTCCCTTTTTTGCATAATTTCATGTATATACAACACATATAAAAATGAGAGACTGGATGGAACAAAATCAATAGCAATTTTGCAGCAACAGATTTTTTCGGATGCTACTCATGAAAACAACCCTCATCGGCAGCAGATCCTCCTTCCCAACGCCACAACTCCCCACTTGCGTGCCTCTCCCGGATATCCCATAAATATTTTAATATTTATTACACTTGATATCCCGGGATGTTTTACAATATCTAATTTCTGCTTACAGTGGCAGATCACCCACACAACCAGTACCATCATCATCAGCCGACGTTTGAGCAGCCGACGCACGGATGGGCGCAGCAGAGTGCGAATGTAAGAAAAATTGCTGCACAAACTTTTGAATTTTTATCATGCCGCCACCATAAAATAACGGTTGGGGCGGGTGTAAAAAATGAGGAAAGACCTTTTCATGTCCATCATCAGATGAGAGATTTCCTCACACCGCGCGACTGAGTGTCTCACCATGCCGAGTCACTTCCGACATTCCGTTCCATCTTCCCTCAGGTGCTCTTTGCGAGCTCCTTCCAAGACTGGGCCGTTGCGGAATATGCTTCCACGCTACCCAGTCTTGTTTGCTTTATACACCCCAAATCCCAAATTCCCACTCCCATTTGTGCCTTCTCACCAGGCGAATCACCATCAATGGGTGATCAAGGTGTGGGCCCTCCACAGCACCGCACTCTCTGCGAAAGTGTATAGGGAATAGGAGAGAAGAGGGCTGGGCCTGAAGGGTGCTTCATCTGACCTTGTTCAGTGACCATATGTGCCTTAATAGATCGATTTCAGCTGTGTCATGCGTTGCTTGAGAAACTAGTCGGCAAAGTGCTTAAAAGCGTCTCTCAGAAAGTTCCGCACATCTTCAGGCTATAAGAAAAATCATCACCCTTAATACCCCAAACTCCCCTACTCGAAGGTGGAGAATCCCCGAAGCTGGCAAATGCTACATCGAGGTGGGAAATTATTTTGAAAAAAAAGCTCCACCGGCAGGACCTTCCGTTTTCACTCTCCGCCATCTGACATCCCTTCACTTAATTCCTAAGTTCCTTAAAATGGAAAATAGAACGTGTCCCACGAGGACGATTACTGCTTTGCCGGAAAGTGTTTTTGTTGGATGGGCCTCGGAGTCGAGAGTGGGATTTTTGTCGGAGAATGGGATTCATTCGCCATTCCTCGTGCGTTCCTCAGGCCGCCAATTTCTGCGCTCCCCTTGTGTGAGTGTTTTGTTTTTATGCCGCCGCTCCTGCCACCCCGCCATGCAAGCACACCATCCCCGCCAAATGGGCGAATAAAGTGAAGAAGTTGCGTCTTCTGACTGCTCCTTCCGTTCTCATGGTGGCAATTCCTGGGTGCTGTGGAGAAAACATCCCTGAGTGGGACTGGGGTGGTGGATACCCGTAAAAGGGCGTACTTTATTTTTTACGATTCTTACCATTTTTTGCCTACTTCCTTCCACCCTCTCCGGCTGGCAAACTCTTCCTCGGGAAGTTTCTCGGCGCTCTGTAGGCCGAAGAAACTTGTGTGCTCAGAAGTGGGAGGAAGTGGTGTAAAATTTCCATTAATAATTTAATTTTAATCGATTTAATTCCTTAAAGCAACAACCGAGTAAAAACACCAACTAATGCATCTTTAAACTCTACATTCTGGGCTTAATTAAATCTTTTCCGCTCCTTCCCTCGAAGATGCGCGTGTGTGATTTGATGGGATGCAGTTTGCTGGGGGATTCTCACTGGCAACTGCAAGATTAGATTGCAATGATTGAAAGTGCAAGAGACACTCATCCAGTTCATATCCTCGCGATGAGCTTTTCAATTTTCCCGCTCAATACAGCCCACACTCCAGCCAGGCGAAGTTCAGCGGAATGTGGGTGGGAAAACTTTCCACCACCAGCAGTTTCACCGCAGTGCTGCTCTCTAGTCGAAGAGTTTGGCGGGAGTGTCGAAATGTATGTTTGTGGCATCAGCAGGAGCTTCGCAATATCCATTTTCCAATCACTTTTTAATCCATCCCTTTATCATTTCTATTCTCTGGGTAAAATTCCACGGAGCGCAAGTGTGAGCGCGCCTTTTATTAGTTTGGGGAATAAAAATTTAATATTCCTCCGGAATTGCGTGGATGTGTACACATGGCCGTAATATCTGCCCTCATCACCCTGCCGCCACCCAATTCTATTGACTTCCCTCCTTTGCCACCCTCAAGATACTGGCAAGAAGAATCTCTCTGATTTTCTTTTCATCGCTCACGCAAAAGTGGTTGCTGATGGCTCGAATGCTCTTCCTCCTCGTGGGAAGACACAATGGCTCAAGGAGCAGCGGGAGACAATCATTCGGGGTGGCATATGTGCTGGGGGTGTCTTTCGCACATTCAATATCAGAGTTGGAAGTCACTCGAAATAAGATAGAATTACCTCCTCGCATTTGGCGTTGGTAGACCAGATGGGGCGCATCTCAAGATAATGATACGGTTTTAAGGGCTTCATGTGACTGTGGTGAAGTGCTGATAACTGCGGCACCTCTAGATTTTCATCATTGAACAGAATCTCTTGCGAGCTTGTTCGCAGTGAAGCTAATTTGCTAATAAATTACACACAAAATAATCACTATGAAAACTAATTACTTTACAAATTCAAGAGTTTCAGTTTCAATGTATAGTTTTGAGAACATTGAAAATAATCCCTTGAATTTTGTTCAGAGATGAAAAGGTTTTTCAACACAATACCTAAATAACAAGAAACAAGAGATGAGATGTGTTTCAAGATTCATTGTGTGTTTTTCAAACAGTCTCTTGCACATGTGAAGATTTACAAACACAAAATGTTTGCATATTTTCATTCTGGAATATGGATGTAATAATGCGAAATTATATCGTATAAAAGTGTACTGAAATTGCTTCCTTTCCGTCTCTCGAGTCGACATGCAAAAACATGTAAACCAGAAGTAATACAAATGCAAAGAATTCCGTGGCATGTAGTCAAACAATTACATAAATTTCTTATATTTTCGCAATTCTTCTTTAAAGCTGGCATACACTTGAAGTTTCCACCCCTTCTCCATTCCTTTTTTCATCTCAAATCTACTGCCACGGCAAGTCTGTTGAGGATTCTGTGGGTGTGACGAAAGAAAACATTGTTGTATGACACAAAAGTCTAAATATCCCATCGCAAGAATGTGTTTCGGGGGGTGAAACGATGAAAATTGATGATGTCAAAAGGGAAGTGATCTTGTGATTCGATTTATAAAGTCATTTTAACGTATATACAGAAATATTTCTCTCTCTCTCTCTTTGTGTGTGGCGATGATTTTCCCAATGTTGTTCTGTATAAACCTCCCCATCTTCTCTCCACTCAACAGCACTTTCCGATCTTATCAGTCAACACCCGTAAAAGGTGAGCATCGTGCAAGGAGAAAATCCACTTTCACCTCATTTTGCATTCGGGCGAGTGATTGTCGCCTTTTCCGTGTGCGCTCATGAGAAGATACTGCCAATAATCATTATGAATCAATCGCTGGGTGTCACCAGGAAGTGTCACATCCAATAAAGTCACCAACAATAATGTGCCAAAGCACATTATCGGGGTGGGAGCAAGTGGGATGCCTTGTGGGCTGCCGCTGGCGTGCCAATCAAAAATTTAAACCATTAGCTCCCGCGGAGAGGGTCAGAGGTGAAAATAAAGCTCCACTCTCGAATGCGCTCTCTGGCTCCTTTATGACATGCCCCTGTGAAACGGCCACCCTCACGCCACCGCCCCCAGGATCCCCGCATGGTGTGAGAGTGACAAAAGCCCAACACCGGCGAGAGCTTTCTGGCGCGCCCAATGAGATGCGGAAAATGAAAAGACGACCCATTGAGCGACCTGAATTGGTAATAAATTCCGTGGGAACTTCCTTCGCCACCCCAAAACCCACCCCATCGCACAGAACTCAACTATGCGGTGTGAGTGTGTGCATGATGGTTAATTTTGACGATGAAAGAGTGGAAAAGAGTGAACACAAGAGTCCCTACGAGGGATTGTGTAAAACCATCCAAATGACAATTGAAAACTTTAATAGACTTTCCGGTTTTATTCCCATTTTCACCAGTACACCCATGTTGGGTCTGGTCATTCAGGAAATTGTGTGTGAGCTCTTTGGGGCGTGGGGCACAAAACTACTGCGAAAGCGAGAAAGGGACTATTAAAATTTATTATTGGCACTCTTGCCAGTTGATTCTGGGGCACCCACCTCGTCGGCCACCCAACGATTCGCAGTCGAAAATGCCATGACCTTTTGCAAAAGGAAATTCACTCTCGTGCCAATTAATATTGCTGCACACGGCAAATTTTTCACGAATGCATGCTCCTCTGAACTTTGATCGGTGTGCAGTGTAAGAGTGTGCGGAATCAATTCAGGTGGGCCGTGATGAATTAAACATGGCAAAATGAACTGATGATGCCAATCTGTGGCGATGGGAATTGTATTAAATTCTTAAATCAGCAATAATATGGAAAACGGCTGGGAAAACCACATTTTTTTCAAAATTAGCCCCTATTATTGAATAGATTGAAGAGCTATATTTGGGAGATCAATAAAATCGACACTGGATTCAGCTGCTGATCAGCCTCTGAATTATTCCTCTGCGTTTGAAGCTGCGTTCTTGAAATTCATTAGGGTGAAAAATTCCCGAGACACTTATTAAATGACATCCGTCCATGCGCGCCCCGTGGAAATGGGAAGTGTTGTGTCGGGACGTAAAAATGTGTGCAAGTCCGATTTGCGTGCCGTGAGGATTTTCCACAATCAAGCGCGCGGTGTCGGCGCCCAAGGGGGCGGAGATCCCGGGGATGTTTTGCCTGCTTCCATATTCTTTGCACATACTTTCGCCATCCATTTGACTCCACTTCCACCCCGTTTTACGGGGGAGGTCGAGAAGCATGCAGGCATGAAGAGCCGAGGGAGAATCCCCGAAAATCACTGACGAAGACGACGCGGCAGAACGGAAACAGACAAATTTCGTCAATTAATCTTGGTGTATTTAGAGACAAAACATAACAAAAATAGCAGGAACTCAATGAAAAAAATTTGATTAATTGCAAACATCAGTGTCACTCTCTAATCCGTGGCGATTATTTATTAATGTTGCTGCTTTTTTTCCTCTCTTCTCGCCTCTTTTCTCAACCCAAATGTGAGAGTCAACTTGCACCTCACTTGCGGACTTTGCAAATTTCACAGATTTGCGCAAAGAGCGGTTTATTTAGCGGCAAAAAAATCCCAAGTTCTACAAAGCAGTTTAAGTATTGTCAGTTAATCAGTTCCTTTGATCACAAATCATAATGGAGAAGCATGTTTTCATTTATTTCAGAAATTGTTCAATATCTCTAACATTCATAGAACTCTAAATCCTCCCTTCTTTTCGCGCTCTGTTCTTACAGACATCTAAAAGTGAGGCGCTGATGAATGGAGATTGCCGCGCGACGCAGGTGCCAGCGGGAGCAACAGGAGATTTGGATATCAACATAACAGCCATCCGGGACCGCCTAATGACGACGAGGGTTCCCGAGAGCTGCGTGTGAAACGTCATATCCGCCGCACTGTACATATCACACTATCGTATTAAACGTACTCGTAGAACATCCTCGTGGATTAAGGTGAAAATGACAGACTCTATTTATACGTGTATATTTGTGGCGGAAGTTGCTACACTGCAATTATCTGCTGTGTAAATAATAAAGGAGATAAGAATAAAATATATCACATATTTCCAAGAAAACCACTTATTTTAATTGCCCGCGGAACGCCTGGTGATTCCTGTGTAATGTGTCTTGGCTGAGCTTTCCAAATCACAATGCTGTCAGTTTTCATAACCTCACTAAACAGTAAAAGCTTTCCTGGTTGCTGCGTCGTGCCAATAAAATGAATAAACCGCCGATAAATGCGATGAATCCGCTGCAAATGACCTCCCTGACTACTGACCAAAGGATTCAGCTGCAATTGAGAGTGAAGGAAGAGCTGCGAAGGGCAGACAGAGCGTCTGCTAAAATCCGCAGCGGTCCAAATGAAGGCACTTCAGATGACAGCCGCATCATCCGGAATGTCCAGAATCTCCTGCAGACCCGATGCAAGAAGCGAATGAGGAGGAGAATCCGCAAGATGAGAACTCGACGGAGATTTCCTCAAGCTCCAGGACAACGAAACAATCACATTCAGTACGGATTTATATTGAGAAAAGAAGTGAACACAAACAAGAAAATAAAGTTTGAGTGATGGAATTATAGTTTTGTGGATTTCTGCTTTTCGATGACAATGGTGTCATTATTCACCTCAGCCATGTTCTCCTTCACCCAGGGATGCTTCATCACCTGAATCAGGGTGATGCGGTGAGAGCTGTGTTTCTGCAGCAGCTTGGAAATCAGATCCTTGGCGCCCGCGGTGAAGTGGCGCGGAAAGCTGACTTGCAGCTTCCGGATCTTTTCGTAGGTCAAATTGGTGCTCTCAGACTCGAATGGGGGGAAGCCTGCGAGGAACTCGTAGCAGAGCACTCCCAGACACCACTGGTCAATAGAGTCATCATATGAGCGTCCGTCCACCATCTCCGGAGGCAGATAATCCAGAGTTCCGCACAGAGTCTTTCGCCTGGAGTGGAGAGAAGGCAGCGTTAGTGGAGAGAAGGCAGCGTTAGTGAAGAAGCTGGGTTGTTGCATAGGAAAATACTCACTTGTTCGAGGGCGTGTGGGCAGACCAGCCGAAATCCGCCAGCTTCACCTGATCTGACGAGGTCAGAAGGATGTTCTCCGGCTTCAAGTCACGGTGGATCACGTTGTTCATGTGGCAGTACTGCAGAGCGGAGGCCACTTGGTAAGTGTACTTGGCCGAGCGGTGCTCATCGAAGTGTCCGTCCGGGGAGTTCTTCAGGTGCTTGTACAACTCTCCCTCGGAAGCGTACTCCAGCACCAGGTAGATCTTGTCGCTGTCGTGGAACCAAGTGTAGAGACGCAAGATGTGCGGATGCTTCAGGCGGGATTGAATCTCCACCTCTCGCAGCACCTGGCGCTCCACTCGGCCCTTCTGCAGCTCCGACTTGAACATCACCTTCATGGCCACAACCATGTGAGAGTAGCGATCCCGGGCAATGTACACCCGCCCGAACTTGCCGCGCCCCAGCGGCGCTCCCAAGTCGAAATCCTCCGTGGTCCACTTGTACTTGGCCCCATAGGCCGGGTGGCTGAGGATCCGATGGCCCAGTTTCTCCACTTCTCGCCTCCGCTCGTCATCCAGGATGCCAGCACAACGCTCCGCCACCGCCTTCGCACCTTCAGCTTTTCCCATCATCTCCATGTCCTCTCTCAATGTCCCACAACTGATCACAGTGCCTAATGGGCTCACCTACAATTTGAGTCAACAAAATAGCCACGAAATCCCCTGAGATTCGAGAAAATCCACCGGAAAAACTGCCCCCACGCTTTTCTTCAACTGCGAGACAAATACAAAAGTCAAACTCACAGCATTTTGCATAGCTTAGATACTTTTCTCGCAGAGGGCGCATCGATCTTCTTTGTTTTTCATGGCGGCTGCCGTGCGTGCTTTTTGTTATGTAAAGTGAGAAATCCTAAAATACCGCTATAAATCAGTATCGAACTACTAAAATTCCATCATGCATCGCTTGCTGGTGGTTAGGAGCATCGTTCCCAGCAGTTTGCATCCCTTGACTCTCCCGCGATATCCCAGAATCACACCAAATTGCTACACCACGAGTCACACAGAGTTTTCTCCTGGTTTCTGTAAGTTTCCCTTATTTTCTCTATTCGAAAAATATTTTCACGGAAGTTCACCATTCAGGGTATTTTTTGGAATGGTTTCTGCAATTGTTCTTTGGGAAATAGATATGTTTTCTTGACATAACCTTAAACCATTGTTTGATGAGCGCTAATCACTTTATCACGAAAATTTCTCCCTCAGATTGGGGACAGCAGAGACCACATGCAACGACACCTAATCTTGATGCTCTCCGGCTGATCAAGAAGAAGAGAAAGACACGAAAGAAGAAATTCACGGAACTCCTTCAAGGTAAACATCGCCGGGAGAGTTCAAGGACATGAGAGTTTAAGGATTTTCTCCTCTTTCTAGTCACTGAGAGCGCCACAACGGAGACGAAGACATCGGTGAAGAAATTGAAGAGCAAGAAATTGTCAGAGTTTATCGGGAAATCTAGTATTGCTGCTGCGGCTTTGGCGTCATCTCCAAGTTTGACATATTCTAAATTGAATTTCACACTGGAAACCCCGGAAAATCGCAATGAGGACATTCCGATGGTGTTTGTCAGTGATAAATTGGGTGTGAAGAAGATCAATCAGCTTCCGCCTGAGGTGCTAAACGAGATCATCGAGAGCTATCAGTGCTTCCGGGAGATGACGGAAGTTGAGGCTATTGTGCCTCCGATTGAGGCTTTTCCGGAAGAAATGGAGCCTCTAGAGGAGGAAGCAATGGAACACATAGAGACTATTTTAGCACCAACAGAAGCCAAGATCAGCGCAAAGAAGGAGAAAATGAAGAAGAAGGACAATTACAAATCTCGTCTTCACGTGAACTCCGAACAGGAACAATTGGCAAAGCAAAAGTGTCTCTTCACCAACATGAGTGCCTATCTTGAGTTGTGCATCTCCAGCGGGATGCTCAACAGAGGACTATCGACGTTCCTAAACTACAGAAATCGATGGAAGAAATGCAACATCATGAATCACTACGACATCCGGCTGTATAACATTCTTCTGCAGGGATACGCTGAGTCGGGAAATCTGGGGAAAGTCAAGGAGATCATTCAAATTATAAAGGCTGATGAAGTGACAATGATCCCGCAAACCTTCGCTTTGGTCATTGAGTGCATTGGACGGCAGGAGCCGAATTTGGAGAACACAAGACTCCTTCAGAAGTACCTCAAGGAGGCAAGTGATCAAGAAATATCGCTTAATGACATCATGGACAAGAGCAAGTTTGTCTCTGATCAGAGGGAAATCGTTTTGGACACAATTCACCGTCTCGAACCTGGATTTACGCCATCCTACACGCCACCAGAACTGACCTACAGCAACAATTTGCTCAATTCACTGAATGAAAACATCCAGGAAATTGAGAGAAAACCAAAAGTGCCTGAAGAGAGGATGAATGAGGCTAAAGAGCTGTTGAAGGAGCAAATGAAGATTGAAATGAAGGGTTATTTGACCGTGAAGAGCATTGAGAAGTTTGCCGAACCCACGCCTTTAGTCTTGCACTACAGAACCAAACTGAGTGAGTTGCAGAAAATTTGGAGAACCCAGATAATTGCAGCCTTCAACAGGGATTTGAACACCATTCGTGCCCAGACGCAGTGCAAATTCAACAAGAGCATCAATCTGTTCCCGTACTTGAAGGTGCTGGACACTGGACAGTATGCGGATATTCTCTTGCGCGAGATTCGCACGTTGGCTGAGGGATCTGAGACGTACAGTCCGACTGTGGGGCAATTGTACAGAGAGCTGGGCGCAAAGGTGCAAATGCGATACTATCTGGAGAGGATGAAGAATATTGGATTGCTGCAGAAGACCAGCGATATCTACCTGGACTACCTGATGGCGCAGAAAAGTGAGCAGGAAGGCAGTGATAATCACCGGCAATTGTGGCAAAAATTGGTCTTCAGTGCTTGCAATGAGGGTCCGAATATGGATTATCTGAATCAGCCGTGGTCAACGAACATCACGTCGGCAATTGGGAAATTTCTGTACAACATCCTCATGAGGGATGTGAAGATTGACCTGAATGTGATGAAATTGAATGGCAAGGGTCAGAATCTCTCGCCAGCCTTCTTCACGCTGTACAGAAGTCAAGGGCGTCACATGAAAGAGGAGGTGAAGCCACATCCAGTGCTGTCTAAGTGAGTATTTCAAATTCTATATGTTATTTTTGGCTCAATTGCGCCAAATGCAACTCTTGAATGTCCCTCGATTTGTGTGCTTCAAGTGGCGCCTCTTGACTAAAATGCATCTTCTCTTTTAGGCTATTTCGCGGTTCTCAGCAAGAAACTCTGACGTTCGACACAAATCTCGTGCCAATGGTGTGTCCGCCACAGCCTTGGAGCACTCCAAATCAGGGCGGATATTTGGTCACGAAGAGCGACTTGATAAGATTACCGCATCAGGCGCATCAACAGTGGTCGAGAATCAACGAATCGTCACCCAAAGATATCTATCCCGCGCTAGACAGTCTCAATCAGCTTGCTTCTGTGCCGTGGAGTGTAAATGGAGCGGTTTTGGATGTCGTTCTCGAGGTGTTCAATAACGGCGGAAGTGAAAAGCTTGACGTGCCACAGCCGCCATCGGTATTGCTGCCTCCAGTGACTCTTCCCGATGACAAGGATATGACGAATGAGAAGAAATATCACATTTACCATCGGAAGATGGCACACAAGCGTCGCCAGGCTGAGATGTACAGTCTGTGGTGTGATTGCCTCTATCGCCTGTCCCTGGCCAATCACTTTCGCGACAGAGCTTTCTGGTTGCCACACAATATGGACTTTAGGGGGAGAGTTTACCCGCTGCCGCCACATCTCAGTCATATGGGATCAGACTTGGCGCGGTCGCTGCTTATGTTCCACGAGGGGAAACCTCTGGGGCCGGACGGACTGAATTGGTTGAAGATTCACTGTATAAATCTAACGGGAACGAAGAAGAGGGATTCAGTGGCGGTTCGCTTAGCGTATGCCAATGAGATCATCGAGGACATTCTGGATTCAGCTGATAATCCTCTGAGTGGGAGGATGTGGTGGGCAAAGTCGGACGAACCGTGGCAGACTTTGGCTTCGTGCATGGAAATTGCTAATGTGATGAGATCGGCGGATCCTGAGGCGTATGTGAGTCACTTTCCTATTCATCAGGATGGCTCCTGCAATGGCTTGCAGCACTATGCTGCCCTTGGGAGAGACAGAGCTGGTGCTGTGAGTGTCAATCTGGCGTCGTCGGAAACGCCTCAGGATGTCTACAGCTCAGTGGCGGCACTTGTTGAGGAGGCTCGCGCCAAAGATGCTGCCAATGGATTGGAGATTGCTCGTGTGCTGGATGGATTCATTCGGCGCAAGGTTATCAAGCAAACTGTGATGACAACAGTGTACGGAGTGACGAGATATGGGGCTCGCCTTCAGATTGCTCGTCAATTGAAGGACATTGAGGAGTTCCCGAAGGACTTGGTGTGGCAGGCGTCATCCTATCTCACTGTGAAGACCTTTGAGAGTCTCAGGGAGATGTTCAAGTCCACCAGAGAGATTCAGGACTGGTTTACACACTGTGCTCGACTTATATCCGCTGTGTGCTTCCAGAATGTCGAGTGGGTGACGCCTCTGGGCTTGCCTGTGGTGCAGCCGTACAATCGCATGGAGAGGACGATATCGCAGAAGGGCAACAAAGTGGGGGAGAATTTTCCCATTGACATGTATGAGAAGCCCAACACGATGAAGCAGAAGAATGCCTTTCCGCCCAACTTTATCCACTCCCTGGATTCCAGCCACATGATGCTCACTTCCCTCTACTGCCAACGTGCCGGATTGACTTTCATCTCCGTGCACGACTGCTTCTGGACGCACGCGTGCACAGTGCCAACGATGAATGTGATCACGAGAGAGCAATTTGTGGCTCTGCATTCGCTGCCTATTCTCGAGGATCTCTCGGAATTTCTCAAGCAGAAGTATTGCTTCAAAGAAACGTGAGTTATTACAAAATGCACATACTCATTTTAAAGGATTATTCTAATGAATATCACTTCTTTTGCAGGGAATTGAAGAATGACGGCTCCGTGAATGATGCCACAAAGAGAAAACTCAACAGAGTCCTCAAGCTATTGCCGGGAAAAGGTGACTTCAATCTGGAGAATGTGCTGAAATCTGTTTACTTCTTCAGCTGAACTGGCTGAACATTCGCGGAGAATTTCCTTTTATAGTAGATGATAGAGATACTCTAGTCACAGGACGATGCAAAAAGACACGAGAGATCGCACAGCAGCAGCACCAACCAGCATGCGAACGACGGGAATTGGAATTGAGGGAGGGAAGTGTGCGTTATTTTTAACCGACTGGACCACAGTTCGCAGCTCTGAGTGATGCGAGGGATCTTCACCATTCAGTCGTGGCTGGATTTTCACAGTGATCGGACGGAGTGGTTTGCATTGGTGCGAATAAAAAAGTGAAGAATTAAGTGAGGGACTTTTACTGTGTGTCCTTACGTGGGAAGGAATCGATATTTGTGAATCTAAGGAGGTATGAAATTGCACAATCATTGATTCGCATGATTTGCTGGCGCGAAGGAGAAGGAAACTGTGTCGATAGAGTTATCTTCTCCTTGGATGTGGCCTCCTCGGTGATGTTTCGCTGTTGCAACAGCGATGAAACGATCCAGGAAGAGTTCTTGAAGGCGCGATAAGTCTAAAATGGGAGATTTGCCGTATTAATAGCCACTACTTCCGCTATTTGAGACACTTGATCGATGTATTGGGAGCACGAAGATCCACCCCAGGCGGCTCTCCATTCAATTCCAAACAGCCTCCGGCCGCCTTTTTGGGCTTGTTTATTCACGATCGTGGTGTTGTAAGAAATGATTTTGCCAGTGCCATAAAACTGGTATCGCCTTATCAGTGGGTGACTTCGCGGCGAGTAGAGAGGGTCATGACCTATTCGCAAATTGATTTTTTACTCCCCGCCTAAAGATCAATTTTTCTTCCTCTCTCGAGCCTCAACATTTTCTCTATTGCTGTAATTTATCATCTGTTTATTTGTCTTCCCAGCTCGCATTTTTTCTTTGAGCCTTTCATTAACTCAACCAAATGACGGATAGAATTTATTATTTACTTGTTTTCCCATCTTCTCTCCCTCAATTCAATGCGGGACGCGGCATTGTGTGCCAGGGAATGCCGAGGGAGAGACCACTTACTGGCAGAGCGTGACTCTGTTTCCCTCTTCGGCACCCAGAGAGAGAGTGATCTGCCCAAGCAGATGGGAGTGATTTGAGTCGCTGAGATCCTTTGTGACGCCTCTTTCTCAAATATTTACATTTCATTCACAGATTCTCCGATCCATTGACGGCTTTCTGGGACCGTGTGTGATCTGCTTTTGGCACAATGAAGACTGCCTCCGGAGGCACATGTGAGTCAATCACTTTTTGTAGCAACTCATCTTTCTTCCCGACTGTTTAACTGTTCAATTTGTTACTACTTTTTATGCACGCACACTAGCTTTGGGGTTGAAGACTCATTGAGTAACTCTGTTAGGCGCACATTGATGTGCAATGCCGAATGAGTCCGGTTAAAGTGAAAAGCATGTCGTATTTTCACTTAATTGAGGGGTGAAAATGGCTCAAATGACTTAATTAGTAATACAGAGCACGAATGAACTCACTAGATTATGTTTTAATGCCTCAAGAGAGCAGCAAAGACTTCTTTACTTGCTCAAAAATTGGCAGTTTTTCATGCACCAGCTGTCGAAATCCGCATTTTTTGCTGTTTTTTCCTCCTCCTTCTATTCTTGCAACTCTTGCACAGTAGAAAGATCTCTTATGTCTCTCTTGAGCCACTCAGTATAATTGGTTTTTCTCGTTTTCTTAATGTGACAGTGTGATCAACTGAGAAAATTGAGCCGCAAATTCATCTGGAACATTAAAAAAAAATCATTATTTAGGACAATAAGAGCATTTGGTAGAAGAATTCAGCAAATTTACGCCTGAGTTTTATCATTAATATGATTTAACGTCTTAAACAATGCGCCAATTTTGCATTTTGTTGATCCCAGTGAATTAATCGCTTGATAATCGTCATATTCATACGCAATTCCTGATTAAAGTCTGCTCATTCAGCATGTGAGTGAATTCTATTAAATATTTACAACAATAATCACAACAGCGCAGTATTTTTCATCTCAATTTGTAAATAATACAATTTGCGAGTCAGATTCATATTTTGGCTTTCTTTTGATGTCCTTTTCTTTCAGACATATTCATTCTCTGCTCTCTGCTGTTGTTCTGCTCGCCGACTAGTGGAGAAGAAGTCACGTAAGCTTTCTTTTTTTTTAATTTTTACAATTTCCCCAATCTGAGAATGTTATTATGATTGAGCCTCTGTGCATTTTTGTGCGTAAAATATATAGTCCATCGACTCTCGCAGGTCATTCTCTTCTCAGACTCCGCGTGAAAGATGTGTGTGAGTGTGTGTGTGCAGGAAAGTAATTAAAGAGCGCGCAGATGTTTCTTGTCTCTGGCTGTAGTGCGTGAAATTTGAGAAAAGCCAAGAGACAAAGGATTTCCCTGAAAATTTAATTCTGTGCTGAAATTTCATGAACCTTTTAGCGTGACTCCCAATCAATTCTGCCCCTCAACATTGCTCAGTCGAGAAGATGTGGAGGCATTTGGGCGCAGACAATGGGTTTAATTGATGGACAGAGAGCGAGAGAGAGAGAGAGGAGTTTAAGAGACGAGATTGCATCTCTCGACACTTGTTCCTCGGAAATGACTTCCTCGGACTTGGGAGTTGCACAGTGAGTGCGCGAGGGGTGCATTTGGAATTTAAATGAGCGCGAAATGCAGTCGAGAGGCGCTTCAAGTGGCATGAGATGATGAGGGATTATTTTTGGAATAGCGCTGAACTTGAAATATATGGCAGAAGGGAATTGCAATTTGAGCAGAATTGTGGTGTCTTTGCAGCAATGCGGATCTCAGGGAGGGCATCAAGACGCTCACGTTCTCAGTGGGGCAGATCGACGTGAAGCTGGAGCGCCATGAGCAGCGCGAGAGGGGCCTGGGCGAGCTGGTGAAGCGCGCCATCGTGCAGCTGCAGAAGGGGCAGCGCCAGTTCGAGCCGATGAAGGGGACATTCAGTCGCCTGGACGAGCGCGTGAGTCAGATCGAGTCGATGCTCATCAGTCGCGAACAGGCGGTGACGGATCAGCAGAACAAGCTGGCCGAGGCGCTGGACGCCGTGCTCAAGTGGATGACGGACAATGCCAATGGACACAGTCGGTATATCGTTGGGAAGGGTGACATGTCTGACGAAGATGAGGATTTGGGCCACAAGATCGACGATCTCTCAGACAATATCAAGGTAATGATTGTGATCATTTACACTATTGCCTTTCTTCACATCCGTTTTCGCTCTGTAGAGTCTCAGGCGGGAGATTGCAGAGCTGAGAAGTGAGCGCCAGACAGCCGATGTCAATACCAAAGCATTCCTGGAGCAGACTGAGAAGATGCTGGGCTCCAAGCTCAATCTGGCCGACGAGGTGATGGAGAAGTTGGAGGAGAAGCTGGTCAACTTCTACGTGACTTCTGCCTCCACTCAGAATCCACTCTCTGGCAACAACCACGCCGACTGGGAGAAGTTGGTCACCGAAGCCCTGGCGGATATTCGCACTAAAGTCTACGACATGAATCCCGGAGTTGGAGCGTCCTTGTCGAAGGAACTCGTGCAGGATCTCAACAAGGAGACCTTGGAGGCCATCCAAGACATGAAACTTGAGGTGCTCGAGGCTTCGGACAAGAGCTTCACGAAGACAGCGGCTCGCATTAAGGAGACCCACGATGACATTCAATCTTCCGTGGCGGATGTGCTGAAGCAACTCTCGGAAACCACGACATCAGCTGAGTCCTTCTTCGAGGAGTTCGTGAAGCGCCAGGAGACACTGCAGGCGGACGTGACGGCGCTCTCGAAGATCGACAAGATGCTCCTGCAGACGGCGGACAGCGTCCTGGACACAAAGAGAAAGGTGGAGTTGGGAGTGCATCAAATTTCTCAGCAAGTGGGTGAGATTGTGTCCAATTCCGTTGGGGATCTCAATGACACAATCACCAAGAGATTTGACGCTCTGGATGAGACAATTCTGGACAATCATTTGGGATCTCTGGCGAATCTCAGCTCGAAGATTGAAACAGAAATCTCACAGGTGAGTTTATTTTTCGATCTCTTCTGGATTTCGATTGGGAGCTGAGAGTTTGATTGTGTTTGCAGGTCTGGCGCCAAGTCGGCATTATGTACCAGGAAATCTCCTCCAGCAAGGCTGCCCTGGATCGTCTGCAGCAGCAAACGGAGGCCTATGTGAACGGAACGGTGTCCACGATGGACAGCATGGAGGGCAAAGTGACTCTCATTACAAGTCGCATGACAGAAGTGGATGCGAACTTGAATTATCTGCTCGGAAGACTGTCTCTGGTCACGCAGGAGTTCAATCAGATCAAGCTGGGTCTCGGCGATGCGCTGGACAACATCCGAAGCAGCTTCATGACAGTCCAGGATAAGATAAAAGGTAGTGCTTTTGGTAGAGACAATTTCCCTTCCATCTAAAAGTATTCTTTTCAACTCAGATGTCGGCCCAGGACCGCATCAAATCCCACCGGAGGAGTTGGAAGAGGGACAGTTGAATCACATGTCATACTGAGAGAGAGATGTTTTCCTGATCTCTCAGCTCAATTTCAACGTCTTTGTGCTGCTTTTCGTGTTCTATGTAATCCAGCATTGCTACATGTTGTCACTTTGTGTACCCAAAATGTATTTTCTTATGCAGAACCATTAAATTTCCCATCATTCAGTGAGAATGCGACTTTTCTCATCTTTTGCACACCTTCGATGTTTCATGAAACATGCTTCACTGCAACGACGTGAAACACCAGAGAAACCCGGACAGAGAGGAGTTAAGAGAAGTCTCTTAAAGTAACAACACGCTCTTCATGTAAGCTTTTGTATTTGCATTTATTTCTGTAATCAGAATTTTATACATAATAATAGTAAATATAGTATATATATTTTATTCATTATAACATACTCTTATGAATTTTTACCGAGTTTCTTCTACAAAAGAAACGCAAAAATGATGAAAAAGGGGGGGAAAGAAAGAAAAATAGAGACAACAAACGGTGCCGTCCTAAAAATTATTATTCTCCTTTACTTCATAGGTAAAATGTAAGTATTAATATTGTTTTTTTTCCTCCTCTTCTCCTCATTTACTCTGTACTCCTATGCTATTAATTCATTATTAAATATATATATTCATAGTTACTTTAGTACTTACATATTTTCTTCTCTCTTCACTTTACATTTATAAGTTTTTTTTTCTTTTGTCTAAGGTACGTTTTGCATTTTTTCTCATCATTTTTTTTTTTTAATTTTATCCTCCTAACTCTTTTTCCTGGCTGAAAAAGTATTCTTCAGTGTCTGTACGTCTATTATCCGGTTTTCCTCTATTTCTTCACTTATTTTCCACCTTATGCAAAGTATTAGAAATATTCTCTTTTCACTTTTAAATTGGAAAAGAACTTCAGTTTCAGAGATTTTTATCATTTGTCGTCTTACCTTTTATGGTACATACAATCTTCACGTTTTTTTTGGATATTTTACCTTTAATACTAATTTCTACAATCTATTTCTTTATTTTCTTCACTTTCTTTAAAAATTGTGTAAAATTTTTGTCAAATAAAAAAAGATTTCTTCACCAAAACAAAAGTGGAAACAATAAGAATTCTCTGTATATGCGATTATCTGGGTTATTTTCTCATTTTCTGAGTGCACTTGTCATCTTTCCTTTGTAGTTTTGAGAAAAGAAAATTGCACTTATATTTCCTCCTTTGTTGCCATCTAAGTTTCTTCTTCACGCGTCGATAATGATTTTTCTTTTTCTTTTTTTTTAATTCAATGCTCTTGTGAATGATCTTTTGTGCTTTTCTTGTTCTCTATGCAAAATGAAAATTTGTTAATTCATACGAAAATGGCACTTTTTGTCAAAAAAATGTACAAAAACGAAATTATTAATTCTTAATTTATATACAACAATGACAATTTCTTCCCCATTTCTTTACTCTCTCGTGTTCTTCCTCTCCTTCACCGTCACTATCTTGCCTACGTAGGTTCTTCTTTAAAAAGAGATGAGATCACCAAATATAATAATTAATTTTTTTTTTCTTTATATCAAATAACAGCCAACTAATAATTTCAAGATTTTTCATTTCTCTTTAATTTAATAATAATCTAAAATTCTTTCTCAAGTAGTCAATAGATGATTTTTTCTTGTGATTTTCACTTTTTCAAAAAATATAATATTTTTTTTCATTTTAATTGAATAAATTCAACAAGAGTTTCACTTAATTTTTTCCCATCGTCATTTTATACTCGAAATTAACAATCTCTCTCTGGCTTCTGCTTCCCTTTTTCCTCATCCTTTGCTTCCCTTACAAGTAACAATAGTTTTTTTTTCTTCTGCCTCTCTTCGTCATTATTAATTTAGAAGGAAATATAAAAGTAGGAAATCCTCTCATCGCTACTAAATATATAGTAAAATTTTTGGCGAGACTTTATGTTGTTTTCTTTTTCTTCATTACGATTTATTAATTTATACTTTAGTCGCAAATAAACTGCTTTTCTTCACTTATATTTCGTAAATTATTTATTGTTAATCTTTTGTCATTTTTTCACTGAGTTTTTAAGTCATTTTTTTCATCTTGTCTACACAAACACACAATTTCTATATATGTTTTCTCTCTTCTCTATTACTGACTTTGCTGAGGAGATACAAATTAAAAAAAGGAAGTTCATTGCAATTGTTACAGCGTTATATTGAAAATGAAAAAAAAATTAAAAGTGCCGTTACTAAAAAGAATGTCTTCTATTCACTATTTCTAAGCATTTTTCTTCACTTATTTACTGTCTGTCACTATATTTAAAAGTTTACTTTATACTTGAATCATCAATTACATCCACACACTTTGTAGTTTGTTCTATTTTTAATCTTCAAAATTTATTATTTACAGCACCTTCGATATTTTGTACTTTCAAATTGATAAAATTAGCTTTATTTATGAGAGTGGATGAGTTTCAAAATCCATAATCAATCAGAATATATGCGGGAAAAAAGCCACACACATTGAAGCCATGTTTTTCCATCATGATTCCTTTCTAGACTTTGCGATGTTTTTTTTGTGTTCTTAAACAAAGTTTTTACAATGAAATAATTGCTGATGGTGAAATTTGATACAAAAGCCTAAAATATAACAGTCTAAAAATTAGCGCAATTCTTTTTTTTTATTTAAACACAATATTTTTGCTCAATTTTCACAATTTTGGCAGTAATTCACTTATTGCAATGATTCTTTTCTTGTCTAGATTCCACGACAGTGTAATTTTATCTTAATTTTTCGCTAGAAAATCATAGTATTAAATCGCACAAAATAGCACTGAATGAAGCTTTCTATTCTTCTCCATCACACTCTTTAGATCGATCTATCATTACTTTTTTTTCTTTAGAAAACTACACACACACACGCACACCCACATAGAGACGTATAAATGTTTATAGCTTATGAATTTTTTTTCGTGTTTTATCATTAGATGAGTGCACAGATTTTACAATTACGGGTAGGATTAAGTTATTTGAAGATCTCGTTGGAGCATTTTCCAAAGCGCAACCACCAGTGAAACCACTGTGGAAAGCCAGGAGCTTCATGACAATTCTGCGTTTCCATTAACCACACACAAACACACGCCAAATTGCCTGTGCGAGACGCAAAGCGCTGCACTTGCCAAGATGCCGATTCCCACATCGCAATTGGATCGTCTCAATTAGACGTCGAGCGCCTGATTGCTGTTTGCCGGTGGTTGGAAAAGAAGTCAAAGGGAAGAAAACTCATTGCCACAACTGTGAGCAACGACATTTAATTAAAATTTTCATTTCTGCTAAATTAATAGCTTAGCATCTCACGCGGAAGCTGAATTGTGGCAAATGATTTCATGGCGGAACGCCTGCGTGAGGCAATTGTACGCAATTTCCCAGGACAAATGCATATTTTGCCCAAAAACACACAGCATATGTAGTTTGATAACAGTGCAGAGAACAACCGGAAGGCAAGTCAAGTGAAATCGAGTGTATGATTCCCGGATTGGTGCAATAAATTTCACAAATAAATCACGACATGACCACCCTCTCGATGCCTGTGTGTGAACCTCAATAAATAAATCGTTACGGATCAACAGCACGGGCTAATCAATTACTTTATGCAAAATACCTCCATGTGCGCCCTTTCGCTGCAACCCTGATGACATTTTAATGATCACCCACGGAATTTCGCAACCCCAGCGCAAGTTCACAGGTCCGGGATTTGGCCTTTGCAAGGGCAATTTGTATCGCTCGACACTCTGCGTTGTTTTGTTCTCATTTGCGTGGCAAAGGGAGGAGGAGAATAAAAAAGAAGAGGAAAAATCTTACGCACAGCCGAGCAATCTAACCATTCTCAATAGACAAACACTTCCCACATTTCATAATTATAACTATTTATGATTTGTTTGTGCGACTTAAACTATCTTTTATCAATGAAGTTCCTTTTTTTCTCGCTTCACTATTTACTATAGCCTATGTTTTTTTTTGTGTAATTGATTGACGTCACGGAACTTAGTAATCAACGCGAAAACCTATTTTGTTTTCTCCATGTTTCTATCAAAGATGATTTGTCGGAAACATTACTCTCAAAACTGACTTTACACTCGATTAAAGAAATTTACCATCTATGAAAATTGCGCCACATTTTTCTTCTTTTTTTGCATGTTGTCCACATACAGTTTAAATTACCATTGTAATAAATTCGTATATTTATCTCTTGTTGCCCTTTTTTCTTACTAAATATTAGTAATCTCGCTATGGTTTTCATTTGGGGAAATTGTGTGGTAATATTTCTTCTTCACACACACAAACGTGCGCTGTTCTTGTGAAATGCAAAAAGTCACTTTGGAAAATTGGTCGATGGTAGAATTTTGTGGCTTTTCATGAGATTTTTTTCCTCGTAAAAAAAAAACATATTCACTGGTATTCTTCACTGATGGTTTTAAATCATTTTACTGTCTCGCTCTCTCTCAACTCTGGTGTCTGGGATTCAAATGTGTTGTGTTGCGACATTAGAAACTCGACATTGGTCAATCTAATTCATAAAACTGAAGAAAACAGTGTACATTTCAGGACGCAACACAACACAATAGTGTAATATTTCTGTCATCCTTGGTATATTATGCATCTCGCGGGTGTTTTTTTTTTCTTTTGGGGATATTGCAAAATGAAAAATTTTACCACTGAATTCAACTTAGACAACTATTCATCTTTCCTCCAAATCACACAATAAATAATTAACATATAAATACAAATGATACAGATAGCTTTTTTTGCCTCCTGCATCGCCACAATATTTGTCTATCGTGGACGCCAGGATAAGAGATAAAATAGAAACCTATCACTATAAAGTATTTACAAGATCTTATAAATAAGTCACACACTACTCATTGTTGCAGTAGAAAGTAATCAGAACTGACCGTAATTTACATGTTCATCTATACAATTGTTTAGAAATTCCCGCGCTCCACGAGCTGTGCTCGCGAAACCCTTAGAATTTGGCCTAATATCTAATCAGTAAATGAAGTTATAGAGAAATTACTGAAGGGAGAATTTATACGACACAAGTCTACAAATTAGTAATTCGATCAATAGACACTGGCATCGCCACTTTGTGGCATTCAATAGGTTATATCATCCTCTTTTTTACGACTAACTCCTTTGTTCTTAGCAAGTAGGTAATTTTTAAATATAATTAAAAATATTTCCACACTCCTTTCTCCCCTCTATTGTCCCCTGTCGCGCTAGCACGCTCGGGACAGGTTGCTAGAGTTCCATCGTCTGCCGATTATGTGTTTAACACAAAATATCAAAGAAACGCTGAAGCGAAAATTCTGGGTGGGTTTTTCTTGTCGCAAAACATCTTGGGGGAGGACTCCTCACGAGGATCTGCACGATGGTGGTGTCATGAGGATGACAGAAACCCGCCAATTTTATCCACTGTCCTTACACTGAATCGCCACCCCATTCTCGCGCGCCTTGTGCTCACCGCCCACGCCGTTCACCAAGTCCACGCGCTTGATGGAGTCCTTGGGCGGGTCGGGAATGTCCTCGGCCGCCGCCACGGCTGCACTGAGTGTGTACCTCTTGTTGGGCGGCATCACCACCACCGTATCCTCGGGACTCCGTCGAGCCGACTTCTTCAGCGGCTTCATGATCACCTCAGTCGTTTTGCTCGTGGGCACTTCCACGGGCGGCTCCGGTTTCACCACCACCGTTGTGATGGGCTCCGGAGGCGGTGGCGGCGGCAGGCGCCGGCGCTGCTGCTCCAGCAGCAGTTCGGCTATTTGGTCATCCTTGTGCCGCAGCTCCTGCACCAGGCGGGCATTCTCGGCACTGCACTGTCTCAGCTGCATGTTCTCCTGCACGAGCACCTGCAGAAGGAAGGAGTGTTGAGGCAACTCTGTTCCGATTGCTCGGGAGAGATCCAACCTACCTTTATTATGTGCAACACCTTGTCTCTGTCCGATGGCGCTGCATCCTTCAGTGCCTCCGCCACGGCTGCCACATCCCACGGCGCGCCTGTGATGCTACTGTCCGCCTCCCCAGTGAGACTGTCGTCATCTGTGTCCGTGGACAGCTCGAACTCAGGGTTGCCAGCCAGCGCGGGTGTTCCTCCGTTCTTCAACACCATCGCCGCTGCGCCCTGATGATTGTGATGCAGGTGTATTGGATTCCCCGCCGGATGGTCAGGCGCACTTCTCGGCGGCGACGGACTGATGCCATTCGTGGTGACCTGACTGCCCGTGAGGGGAACTGGAGAGGTGCTGGATGTGATCTCATTGCTGCCCGACAGCTGCTCCGGACTCACAGGTGCTCCCTCGCCCGCCGGCGACGTCACTCTGAGCTCCGGCGACGCTCCGGCCACAGAATTCTCGCGCGGCGACGTGACTCGCTCCAGCTTGATGGGGATGTCGGTGGTGACAATGCGGGTGGTGTCTCTGGGCGAGAGATCCTTGGTCAGCCCATTCACCCGGCGTGGCGCTAAGGCAACGTTGGGCTGAAAGGTGCGCTCGAAGCGTTCGCACTCCGACAATCGCACCACCCGCTCCGGATTCTGCAGAATGGGCGGCTCCTGGCTGAGATACGGCAGCCCCGGAACATTCGAGTAGCTGAGGTGGGCGAGGTGTTTTGGCGTGAGCGGCGTCCACGGCCGGAACGCCGACAATTGCTGCTGCTGCCGAAGCTGATGGGCATAGAACTGCGCATAGGGATGGTACGTGTGATAATCCAGAGCGTAAGCCGCATCATCTATCAACTTGGACTTCTTCTGGGGAATGTCGATGGAGTTCGCCAGAATGTGGGGCTCCTCGATGACAGCCTGCCAAGAGAGATGAGACACACTTTACTAAATCTGATTAATTACCATGGGTATTTTGGAGACAGTCACAACAGAGAGATTTGCATATGGCTTCAGCCTTCTGTCTCTCTTTCAACTCTGGGCGCCCATCAAATCCGCATTACTCGAGTTCAAGGTGTGGGTCACGAGCGAGAAGTGAGATTAACAAGGCATTTCCTCCACTGAAGATCACTAATCAGTTGAATTCCTCCCAAAGAGACATATAATATACTTTTCACACAGTGTCCATTAGATATCATTAATACTTCTTCTCTTCCGAGCCAACAAATAACCATTGACAATCTTCCCTATCATATTCCCAACTGCACTTCTTCATATCTCTGCCTCCCTCCCCACGCACTCTCCCCCAGTCAAATGACAGAAACATAACATAAAATGTGTGCCACGGATAAGTGGACGATGGTAATTGGATACCAATTACCACATCTCATAGCATCGAATGCAATAAAGCTCATCAGACAACTAAATCAATAAAATGGCCTAGTCGACGGTCGAGACATCCGACTCGGTGTATCTCCAGTTGATTATTTATGTTATGACTTGCCATATCAACCACTGCAATCGGATTTCATGCATAGAATGCGCGACATTACATTACTTCTCTCCTCAAGTATATTCGTGCAGAACCATCTGCATCGCAACTGTCTCACATTCACAGCCGCACAATCATCCAGATACACAAATTGCTCTGTCTCTCATCTATTTACTTTACTACTGACTCTGATAGTTACAGATTATCCTCTCAAGTCACCCAAAATTGTGCTATCAATGATAAGCGTCGACTGAAAAAAGATTTGCTGAATTCTAACACGAGAACCACAATATTCGCTGTTCTCATGAACACCCAAGCTTAAAATTCAAAGCCCTCACCATTAATGGCAGCATCTATAAATAATTCCTCATCGTAAATGACATTTTTCCGACTGCGAGATATGAGTAAAGTCTCAAATTTTGGAAGTTCATAAAAATTGTGTCAGGTTCTCTCGTCTTTTATTTTCTTCCCTCCGTTTTTTTTATTACATTTCAGATTTTATTTCAAATATCCGGAGATTGGAATGGTGAAGGGGAAAAAAGAGGAAAGGAAGCTCCTCATGTGCTCACACGACACATTCACACACAACACGGTGAAATTGCGTCAAGACGTCGAGGGCGAAAAATTATATTGACGAAAGCATTCAAGGGAGAATCCTTGGTATGTCGAGGAAAAAATACATCATAATATTGAGATCATCCGGCGTTTGGCAATAAAATGCTTTCTCTCTCGCTGGCTGTGTGTGAAATTCTGGAAAATGTGAAAATGAAGACATGTCTCAGCGTGAGGAATCCATCTCTCGTGTGTCGTTGGGCTGTTTATGGGGAGCACGAGATAAGGAGGCCCGAGACAAATGACGTCAATGGCCCGATAAGTGAAAACGATGCTGATAAACTCGGCGCTTTTTTCGCCCTGATAAGTGGGCTGGCGGAACGGGAGCCGGTGGGGCGACAAGGGGGGGAAAGCAGGGCACCAGCCACATGAAGAAATGTGTGTTGTTTGGGGGCCACACAGTTTTGTCTGTTGACTATTTATACATTTACTGTGTAATCGCTGGCTGTATAAATATAAAAGTGCTCTCTTATCAGTGTCAATGGTGAGTATGCTGTGTGACTCCCCGACAGTCGCGCTGCGGCTCGTGATAGAGCCCGAGAGACTCGCGCGAGGGACGATCGCAGAAAATGTGTGTATGTATATAAATCATATAAGTATAATGGAGAGATTATAGAAAATATTATATTTGATATATAAGCGGAGACAGTAGAAAAAAGGGGCGCACAGAGAGAGCAAAATGAAAGGAGAACCTCTCTTTTTTCTGCGCCTTCGCCCTCCTCTCGTGTGTGACATTCTTCAAGATAATGGAGTAATTAGTTTTTATGTAATGACTAAACGAATGCCTTCATTCATTATTTCTCTCCCATCCGACGACGTCTCCACACACAACCCCCCATTAAGCGCGCACAGCTAATTTAATAAATTAAATCATGTGTGCCGTAATGATTGAAAAATGACGAAGAGTCGCGCAGAGCCAATAAAATCAATAAGGACGATCCGCGTCTCTTCAATCGAAAAATAATGAACCAGATTGGCACACTCATTAGAAAGCAATCCGCGATATATTTATTCCTTCGCCGCGACTCGCTCGTGGACAGGCAAATGCTCATCGTCCGAGCACACAAAGTGCACAGTTAAACTTCAAATCACATAATTTATCGAAGCCCATTACAAATTGCCAGTCTGTTTCATGTTGGCTTTTCATACAAATGCACAATTGCTTATTGAAGACTTATTTTCTCTCCCTTCTCAAAGAGGAAGATTCAAAGATCAACAAACAAGATCAATAATCTCATCGAATCAATCATAATTTATATGTATACAATCATATAATAATGCAACAGTCATATCGTATATTTTATTTGAAGTCGAGGCAAGGCTACTTCAACAGGCCGTCGTGGCATTTCTCTCAATTCCTCCAGTAGTAATTTTGGCCTTTTCAAATCCGCAGAAGTTATACTGTCACAGGGATTTAAAATTCACTGCAACTTGACTACAAAACACGGCCAAAGACAAACCCCGAACTCTTGTTCTTCAAAGTGAATCGCAAACAAGAGTTATTTTCTCCAAAGTTAAACTTCACATGAAGTGTGAGAACTAAACAAATAAATCTCAAATGTAAATCATTTTCTGTACAATCTCTGCACAGGGTGAAAGGCATCGCGAGAAATTTTCGGGAGAAAAAACCCTGAGAAAGCATAGCGACAGAAAGTGGGGTGAATTGATGAGAATGAATGCAAGATGAAGGGCTCGGATGCGTTATACCTAATTTGAATATCCGCGAGAAGAACGGGTTTTCCGCTGTCAGCCGCAAGCGCTGATCACCCTGACGTTGACCGACCACGACATGCCCATTAAACCCTCGGTCAACCCTTGATGCATTAAATCGCGAAGCGTCGCGCATAAATTGCCCTGAAATTTCCCAGCGGCCGAGAGGCCGCGTCGCGACACAGCGCGGAACTGGATATGCATATAGTGTGTGTGTGTACTTTCTGAAAATTTATGCAGAAAATTGTGAAGTGAAAGAGGGCAAGGGAAGACAGTGATGCGCGATTGTTTATGCTTAGATGCAGTCTCTCAAAATGCATTCAGGCCGGTTTTACAATCTGCGGCACATCGCACAAAACGGCAATAATAAACATCCAAGGTTAGTTTTATAACTTGAGCAATTCTTCTATTTTTCAGCGTCATTTTTTTTCTCTCTTCTATATCTCTTTGGCTTCTTAATTCATTTTTCTCTCCCCTTCCAGCCATCTAAATATGCACAATCTCCCAGTGCACATCTCTCGCGTTACAATTTGCATTGATTTATAGGAGTTTACGCAGTGGAAAATCTATGAGATTGCGCCTCTTTGCACTAAATGCTCACAATATTATGCATATTCTCAGGTGGGAGCCATAATGCCAAGGAGATAAAAGAATTAATGGCAATTTAGCACACAAAAACCACAACGGCCCATATCGAATGCTATATGCAATTCGCCCCTATTTTATGCAACTGCATCAGCAAAAAAAAACACAGTCCAAGACTGCATATGAGGCTGCCTTAATGCTTATTTTTCCTCTCCAAAGAATGGAGATGTGGCATCATGTGTGCAAATTGGCGTGGCGAAGAGATCACTATCTGTTCATATTATAAATGCGGTTATGAGTTGATAATAGTTTTCCGTTTTGTTGACTTTCAGCTCTTTTTTCCAGCCCATTCACATGGATTTCTTTTCTTTCCCGCCCCCGGGAAGACGCATACAGCATCACAGCTCGGAATCACGATGGAATTTTTCACCATTTTTGGCCATTATGGAGAAATTGCTGAATTCGGTGGAGGGTGGAGAGGGAGAAAGAGAGACAAACTCAGTGGGTATTTCGGAATGTTAGCGGATGATAGCCAGAGAGATTATACTTTGTAGGTGAATTTTTTTTCGGTGAGATGTTGTTGAAATTCGTGATAAAAATCTGAAAATATGTTTTGCACTTTAATTCATATTTGTCTTGACTTGGAATTTCCCCCGCAGCGTATACATTTATAGGCCAAAAACTGTACTGACATGCTTAATTATCTCGCTGTGTGGTTTCAAAGGGAAACGTTGACGCAAATTCAATGACCCAACCATATTAGAAAAAACTAAAACTTTTCTGATAATACTTCTCTTCGCAGTTGCCATTTTATTGTGAACTTTCATCACAGGCTATCTCTCTGTATGCAAGTGAGAGAAATTGAGGATTGAACATATTTGCAATGGTAATCCAAGGCGGATCCCAATCGATCATTTTCAAAAGGAAAAGCATCGCCTTTTCCCTCAACTTCACATCCCACCTCTTGACATTGCAAAAGTGCAACACGAGCACAAGACAGTGGAATGATAATGCCAGTTATGACTGGTGATTGCACTGAAGTGCACTTTCAGCTGTACAAAAAGTGCCTCAATTTCAAGTATATCGCCAGTTCAAAAAGCAATTAAAGATCAAAAGTCTATAATTTATAGACACACATTCCTCTCTCGCTCGCGCTCCCTTATTGTGCACATAATTATTTTGATAACACACCACTTGAGAATGGGGCATCCACTTGAGTTGTTGTTTTCGATTATTTTCATAAATACAGAAGAGCTACAAGTTTGAATTTATGATTAGATTTGCTCTCTCTCTCCTCGCCATTTATCAGTGCAGCGAAACTAATAGAATCGTAAACCCATTTTATACGCACTGCCATATAAACTTATCGTTGAAATTAATATAAACACATTCCAGGGATGCTAATTATTTATTGGAGAGAAGTCAATTGTGCGGAGTAAGCGGCGATATTTTCTTCTTACATATTCACATGATGATGGTCAAAGGTTGAGAGCGTATTAATGTCTCAAATCAACACCCTTCG